GGTAAAGTTTGGGGTAAGGGTTCAGGTAAGGGTGGGGATTAGGGTTATATAGGGTTAGCGGTGGGGTTAGGGGTAGATTTGCTGATAGAATTGGGGTTAAGGTGAGAGTTACGGTTAGATACTTGAGGCATTGTTTTTTTTTTAATAGGATATGAACAAATGACGATAGTTTAACGTTTTGATTCCGGGGTTCAGGTTAGGGCTAGCCAGTTACTATTAAGTAATGTGCTGTTTACATGAACATTGATGTGGTTTTTTTTTTTTATAAATGCTGTGCTAGAGATTCGCAAATAATGATAGCCTCGATAGACTGTATTGACATATAATTCTGAGAAAGTTGAGAGGCTGATTCGTGACTCAATGCTTCCGTCAAATATCGATTGAATTGGATCATCCTTGGGATCGTTGTCCAACTGCGAGGATACAAAGGTCCTTAAACATCTGCTCAGGCTAACAAAGGCAGGGGCACTTTTTGATGGGTGTGGCCCTATAACCCCCCCCCCCAAAAAAAAAACCCGAGCCGTATACTAGCACCCCTCATGCATTGGGGGAGTAATCTCCAAACATTATGAAGAATTTCGAAATTGGGAAATATAAGGTATTTGTCCACAAAATTTAATTATCTGAATGCCAAAAATATCTTTGACTCACCCAACCCCTTACCAAACATATTTTCGAGACGCGCCTGGTCTAATTGAATCACGAGCGAATCTATTTAGCCACTAAGTGCTCAACCACGAAGCCAAACAGTATACACCAATCACAGAGGAGTGCTAATTAAACATTTGTTTAGATGCTCTCTGAAAATTAAAAACTCCCAAATGGTGGGCAGAGTTATGCACAAAATCCACGAGCAATGACCGTGTATAGTTAGTCGTTGTTGAGCCAACCGAACACCCCACCCTCATGTCGAATATCGCCATACCTGATGCGTGACGGACAGGGACGCGGACGGGATGTCACACACCAACACAAGAGAGGTGCAAATTAAATATGAGCTTCCAGATAAATTTCCGTGACAGCGGAGAATTTGTCAACAGGCGTTTTGACGTCACAGCCTGGCCGACCGTTGCCTAGCGACGGGATGCGTGAGCAGGCTGGATGTGTGTGGATGAATTATGAGCAATTTTCTCAGTGAGTTGATGGACCTTTTTTCGTCTTAACACTGGATAAAAAAGTAAAACTCTGCCGACAGGCATGAGCCCGACCAGCTACAAAACAAACGCAATACAACGTATCAACAATATCCGTGATGCGCGGAATTTGCCCAAAGCGTTCCGAGATTTCGACTATATTCGTCCCGTTTTCAATTATTGGCAAGATGGTTCAAAACAGTAGACCCATGCCTACGTTACATAGAAATAAAGGATAACGGTTGTTAGCGTCCTAAGGCAACAAGGTTGAAATTTGTGGGAGAAAATGGTGCCGAAAGTGAACTGTTTATGAATTTTGCAAATCAACGCATAATTTTGGAAAATTTATTTGTATGTCTCCCCCGAAAAGGTTTATACGTATCAAGTAACACAGTATTTGAGGTAAAAATAATGTGCCAAACGTGTCAAAAATTTCGGTCGAAAAATTGCATCTGGTTAGCACGCAGTTAAGAGGGTAGGGAAGAAAGGGTGGGGTAAGGGTTGTGGGTCTCGAATGAAGGGCGGTGAAGGGATTTTCGTCACAGAAATAAAAATTTCTCTTAGAAAGTGACTTTTTAGGTACACATTGCTATCGATTTGATTTCGAAGCCGCTTAGCACGAAATTTAGAAATGTGTTGCTTTTTACCGTTAGATTACCAGCGAATGCGTCATGTGTTACTGAATATTGGTTGTGACTGGTAAACTGACTAGTAAACCGAGAGGTTTACCACTTAAACCAAACATGGGCCATCCTTACTTATGTGAATTTCTAAAACTAACTATTGTTCTTATTACTACGGGGAATGGTACTTTATGGAGATATTCCCATAGGGTTGTGCACAAAATTGTTCCAACTTTAATGACCCCTAACCCAAATTTCTCTTATCCTACCCCCACGATTTTTTTGTATATTTATAGCCATGCGCGTCGGCAAAATGAAAAAGTTTTTTTTCAATGAAAGATGATGTCACTGGTTTGACTGGAAACCCTGTTGCTGCACAATTTTAACGTGTTTTTAGATGGGGTTATGGTCGAGAATAAGCTTTATGTGGCCTCTCTGGTCTCCCATAATATTTGCACTAAGTTTAGTCGGGCACCATTTGCAGTCATCAGCCGACATTTGAAGCAAAAAGAACAAGTAAAAAAAAAAAAAGCCGCGTCGCCGCACCACTTTTTGGGCAAGCTCCATACCAGAAACCGGATACTTTTTTTTTTGGCCTTAAGGGTTAACATGAATTAATTAAGCAGCATTCGGAAAGACCATTAAAAATAAAACGCTGTGAGGAAACAAAAACATAAGCCCTCTCGCAATTTCCACTGAGTGAGCACTGCTCTCTTAAGATGAATGTGGAATACATGTATACATATTTTATTGGAAAATATTATGTTATTTCCTGACAAGCACGGTCAATAAACTATCAGTTCATGATTGTGAATAAATAATGACACTTTGAAGGTAAACATTTTTTTGTTTTGTAATAAAGCTGGTTTATTGAACAAAATAAAATGTCTGCCATACTCCACATAGGCCTATATTTCCAACATCGAAAGAAATAATCTGTTACGTGGTTATATTTTCTTTTTAACAACGAAATAATATACATCGTTGCTTGTTAGTGTCAGAACAGTTGTTTAAAAATGACGATTACACTTTTTTTGGGAGCTCTCATGGATGACCGATATTCTAGTCATATTTCTTAGAAAATAATATGAAGCAAGTGTTTTTGCCAAGTAAACGATTAATCATTGTCAATCAACAAAAAGGGAAATCATGATTAGAAAATATAAAAAAAGAAGATAGATTAGCAAATGTTATTTCGGATGGCAAAAAGTAAATGGCAGTCTACAAATTCTAAGGATATAAAAATGACTAATAAAAAATGGTAATTGGCTTTTTGGGCTTTTTTTGTTCTTTGATTGAAATAGGAACTTAATTTGTTTGCATTTTGTGTGATCCAGAAAAATACACTTTGGTTAAGGAATAGGTGGTAAAATAATGTTTTATAAATCGAATGGTGCTTCTGCCAACCATAGTTTTGCAATTCAGAAACGGCCACAAACTAAACTTTGCTAAATATCCAAGCTTTCGAAATGTTATTTCTTTCATGGGCACAACCTTTCACGAGGGTCGTAAAAACAAGAAGGCAATTTATGGCACACTGGAACACGGCATGATTAGTTTTCTGGTTGATGTAAGCACTTTCGTCTCCCTTACCCTCCCTGAATGGATAAATACTGGAATTCAAAACCTGATCAAAGAAATGGTGTAAACGCTTTCGTGTCAAATTTCTAAACATCATGTTCTCACATCAGAATGGTTTGCCTTTGACATTCATCAAATCAGGATATAAAGGGTGGATACAAAAAAAAAAACAACCCACCGAAACCAAGATATGATTGCAAATTGGAACAGAAGTGGGGCACATGTGAATCAAAGGGGATGTCTTCTGTTGGGGTTGAATCTCCTATTTAAAATGACACCCTGGTCATGTCATTACATTCATGATTGACTGAGCAGTGACCAATTTTTGAAAGGGTCTATTTAGAGGCTTGCACCACTTTTCAATTGTGGTTTTTGTTGTGTCAGTTGTCACAGAGTGAAAGGCTATGGTTGCCAATCAAGGCAGGTGGGGAAAAAGACATTTCACAATGAAAAGTGGCGCAAATCTCTTAATAGGCCCTTACATAAAATTGGTCACTGCTCAGTCAATGTAAAGACATGATCAGGGTGTCATTTTAAAGAGGAGATTCAACCCTAACAGAGGATATCTCCCTTTGATTCACATGTGCCCTACTTTTGTTCCAATTAGCAATAATATCTCCGTTTCGGTTTTTTTATCCACCCTGTAGAATGAAATATACAATTGTAGTGGCTTTATACAGAAGAACAATTAGCTGAAGTAGAGATGTCATGATTATATTTGTTAACTCGGGATGCCGTTAACGCATAAAACATTGGTAAACAATGAAATTAAATACAAAGACTTTTGAACAGAATGTACAAAAATAATTTAAGTTATGATACAGTGGTTTTTATATACTGTCGTTTGATGAATGCTTATGTCTGCTCTTGTAATAACACAAAGCAATAAGAAACAACTGTCAACTAGCTGTAAATGTTTGTGTACAGTTTGTCACTTTTTTTCTCAAAAAAATCTTAGTTTTTAAAATTTTGAGTTTGCTCACAGACACAGCAATGAACTGAAAGATTCTATCTTCAACAGGATTAATCTTTTGAAATGTTCTCCATTTCTTAAGAGGATCTCGATTTTGTTTTGTTATATAAAAAAATCTGTTCATCTTTGAAATGCAACAGTGATTACACAACACTCATTGGGACAATTTTTAACATGCACATGCCTCATGCAGATAATATGCCAAATTGTCAAATTGACAACTAAAAAAATATGTTTATTGTCAAAAGGTATGAAGATCCACCTTTCTGTGGAATCAATCTTGTTAATTTTTTTGTTAAGCTCTGGTTACATGGACAATTTTTTTTTTAACATCACATAATTTGATGGTGTTGTGCAGCAGGACAATCTATTCTAGGACTTTAGACGAATCCGGACATGTGATCACTGTACACTCGCGTGGCCCCCTTCAATGGAGAAACCATTGTGCATGCTATTGTACAAAGCAAATGGCCCATGATGGATTATCTGAACAATAGCTAGCACAATGCTTTCGCCATTGAAGGGGGCCTTCATGATAGAACTGATAGCGTGCCCAGTTTGGTCTATATCTTACAACGAGGTGGTGGTTACGAAATTGACCTAACGAGGCTGTGGTTACGAAATTGACAGTTACAAAATCAACAGTGTCTTATGTCTTGCAGATGTTTTCTTTCTTCCATTTTTGTTGTTGATGACCTCCTGTCTCCAATGATGAGGGGCTAATGAAGGTAGGATTATGGCCTTGCTGGGGGGCCTACTGTTTCCTGTCTTTAGGCAAATAAGCTCAGCCTCGGACTTAAAAAATAGATCTTCCGGTCCAAATGCGGAGGATGGAGATGGCCCTCAAGGCGATGCCAATGACACTGTCGAAGCACAAAAAAAACCACCTGTTTTTTGCGTGTTTGCTATCTTTGCATTCCGCATACAAAAATTATATTATAGCGCCCCTTGAACAAAGACGTTGACAAATTGGGGAACCGCCAACATCGGGGTGATCTATATCACCCTGACGCAACAAAAATCCATCTTATAACATAGGGATGGATAGCTCAGTTGGTAGAGCACCGGAACAGCAATCCGGAGGTTACAGGTTCAAACCCCGCTCTAGTCAATTTCTTTGTTCAACTTTGAAGAATTACACTGGTGATGTGAAGACATGTTTGGTTTTATCATTGGGATCAGTCACTGCATGTCAGGTTGGTGCCAGTACTAATTTCCTCGCCTTCCACCTCTATGACCCAGGTTCAAATCCCACCCAGTTCAAAATGGGCTTTCAGTCCCTGCCTGATTCCGGGGGTTTCCCCAGAATAGCTTTCTGGGAAAATTTTTTCATCTTTTTTTCTCCCTAGATGAGTTCTTTTAGGCTTACAAGCTACCAGTAGTAGCGCAATTTTGAAGACTCCTTGGGGTCATTACCATAAAATGAAGCCAAATTGAATTCTTGGTCTGTGGGTAATTCTGCAGGTTGTGGGTTCGAGTCCAGCCCGCGGTTATGGAGCGTGTGCCCTCGGGCAAGGCACTTTTGTCACTCATTGTTTCTCTCCATCCAGGAGTAAATGGGTACCTGTGATTGATTTTAGCTGCTTTGCGCCGAAATGGCAGCATCAAGCTGTATGCTCCCCAGGGAGTTGAGATTGTCCTTGAAATGTTTAATTAGCCTAATGAGCAGGGTAATAATGATGTAGCTCCTTGAGCACCAATACTGGTGGATACGTGCGCTTTATAAATACACATTATTATTCATTATTAAATAAATAAACAACTTCAAGAGAATATCAGAATTTTCAGCTGATGAACTTCAAATTCAAATGCAATTTAGCTCCTTTCATTAAAACACAGCTACTGTCCCTAATTGATAAAAAACACCAAAATAAAACCACAAACACATGTATTTACATCAGAAATCTTGACAAGATGAATACATAACCCTCTATAACTGTGTAGCGATGGCCAAACGAGTGATCAACTGAATTGGAGCATTCACTAAATATTTTTTTGCATGGGCGAACTCTCTGTATGTGGGCCGGGATCGACGCGAAACCCTTTGGCAATAAAAACGGATTTAGTTGCTCTAATGGATGGCACTTTGGTCACATTAGGCGTGTTACGCTGTGCTCAGGCCGGCATGTGGTCACGCACATCAGGCACTAATGAACGAGTAAAAACCCGGCTTTTCCGGCCAGCTTTAAAAAAAAACCGCTTGGTCATAAATAGACACATCAGCACAGTAAAGGCTGAAAATTTCTCCAATCTTTTTCTTGTTTTTTAGCACTCTTGTTTTTTTCTTTCTTTCTTTTCTGTTGTGTGCAGAGGTGCCTAAACAATAATTGAGCCAGATTAATTACCTCAACCTAAAACAATTTCACAATTTTTTTTTTAAATTTGAGCTCTGCTCCCATTAGGAAATATATTCTCTAATATTCTTGTTTCTATTCCTTCCTGTATATCATTCTTAAAGGCACATACCGTAATTTTCGGAATATAAGCCGCGCGGCGTATAAGCCGCAGCACGCAAAAATCTGCAAATTAAGATTTGAAGTCGGCGTATAAGCCGCACCGGCGTATAAGCCGCACCGACTGCTGCGGTTTCAATTTTGTAAGGCCTCCAAATTCTAGTCAAAATGCTCTGAACCAGTTCCATTTAAGTACACTACAGAAGCTATTAAAAGGGCCACAAAAGTTATATCAAATCATTTACAATCGATACTTTTACAAACAAATATGGGAATTGATGAGAAATAAACACCGGGAACTGCTGCCGGCTGCCCCGTCATAGCCCGGCAGCCTGCGCCACGCACGCCGGTGAATGACAACATTTTCCCACAGCACGTGAGAGAGTATGAAACCCACCGTGTGTTGTCTGACTGGAGCGCTACAAATCTTGCTTTGTGGCAACAGATGCTGATTTGTTTTGTCCTAAGAATAAACAGGTCCGTTTTTACCTCAAAACTTATCAAAACTTATCAAATTGTTGCGATTACTAACGAGTAGTTGCGATAAAAATTCAAGTTTCGATCGTAACTTTCTTCGGAAATAGTCAAAACGAAGCGAACATTTTAATAGACGAATCCATTAATTTTGTAAGGGGTGATTTAGTCCCTCTTTTGAGTTTTACATCGTTTCTTGAATACATTTCAAAAAAACAAAATATATTGTGACGTTGAACAACTGATTATGTAATAAAAAAATGTTTCGAACGCCATAAACATTTTAGTCGTCTTTTTTTTTTTTTTTTTAAACAGCGGAAATATTGGTAATTATTGTTCCCAAGAAAGAACACCCCTTTATTACCACAAATGGTGTGGTCCGCTGGGGGGAAGCATGCTGCATATCGCTGCTGCACTGTACCAGTATCACGTACTGCTGGTTGCAAGTGTCGAAGACAACTTTCATCACCGTACTTTTTACCGCTCGGTACCTTTACGTGAGACGTGGTTTCGGTTTGTTAATGACTTTCTTAATTTATAATTCATTTCAGCAACACATCTCTTCTTGTACCAGTACATTAAATTCACATGTGAATCTTATTTTTATTCTTTAAGGCTCGGCGTATAAGCTGCCCTGTGTATAAGTAAACATTTTCATGGGCAAATTCAACGTATAAGCCGCGGCTTATATTCCGAAAATTACGGTACATGTAGGATCATTTGCATTTATCGCAAAAGTAACCTACCAAATTATAACAAAAAAGCTTACTTGGATTAAAGACTGTTCTCGTACTAAATATCCCGTAAAATAATTCCCTCTGGCTTGCTGTCATTTAGAAGAAATCAAGAAATGTATGTGATTACCACTGATCATTCAACTGACTGATTTTTGGAAATAAGAGTGCTTTGGAGGAAATCATGTTTCGCAATCAAACATTTGTGCATACATTATCACTGTTTTCTCAAAACTGTATGTCCACTGAGCTGAAATTTCAACAGGTTAGTTTTTAAACATTCTTTTTTTGGAGTTTGCGTGGTGTTATTATTGGAAACGAACAAAATGCATGAAAAGCAAATGATCCTTTATAGGGTGAGTCAGAATGATCTGGAACCAAGTTCACCATTTTTTGGCGGCATATAGAGTATATTGAGAAAAAAAATGAGTGTTTCATATGAATGGTTTATAACTCTGTCTTCCACAGGAATTTTGAATTTTTCAATTTAGTGGCTGTGGTGAGGAGATATGCCATTTTCATTGAAGTGGCTCACACAGAATTGAAATTTGCCTTTTTTAAATGTGACAATAACTTCAAGTGAGTCAGTCACCATGACTAGGTTTTTATTTGTTATTACACTGCTTCACATCAGTACGCGATTTCAATAAATTTGTTGAACCATGGAACCATGGTCAGAGTGTTTTGTAGCGTGTGTTCTTTGGTAGTGCTTTTTTTTCAAAATGGTACAATACACAAAACTTTCACCAAATATGTCCAAAATACCAGCCTATAACATATCTCATTTGCACTTGTTGTGATTCATATTTTTAATATTTTCCTTAGTTTGGGTCTAGATCATTCTGACTCACCCTGTATGCCTTTAAGTAAATGGATGCCGAATGCACATTCAAACATTAGAATCTTATTCATTAAATCCTCCATACCTTTTACCGTCTTGCCTTTCCTCGGGACCTTTTCTTTGTTTCACTGGAAATATGTTTCGTAGTCCTGGGTCAGTGTTCGTTCCTCCTCCATGTGCGTCTGCATGCCGAGATGAAAGAGAAGATCTCTTGGAGTGTAGAAGACGGTCTCACACAGCCAGCAGTGGGCAGGCTTGTCAAAGGGAACAGTGGACCTAGATTCATCAGAAAAGGTAATGAACATCATTAGCAAACGTTCAAAAATGAAATCCTCCAAGTATCATGAAATATCCTACTTGACTTAACAGGAGCAAACATCAGGGTATCTGCACTTTTCAGAAAGTCAGATTTGAGACTTTTCAAACCCCTTTTAATGCTACTCTGAACAAAGTTTAAGACCAAAAATAAGTGCATAAAGCAGGGAAAACAGCTATAGCTAATGAAGTTCCTGGAAGTATTAATCATTACCCCTAGCTTGTACACTTATTGATACTTATTGAAATATTTTGATGGGCCCACAGGAAATTAGTTTCGGGTAACTCAGACGTCTGTAAAACTAACGTATGTACAGATTGGCAAATTTATCAGCATGGAAAACAGGTTTTTTTTGTAGTCTCGGGTTTTTTTTTTCAAGAAGAGGAACTACCATCATTCCTGGCGATGGTTAGGACCAAACCATTGGGCTTTCAACAAAAACCCTTCAACAGAAACCTATGCTTTGTGTCTAAACGTGCTGGAATTATAATCGTTACTTTCGATACTTTTGTTCCCTTTCGATACTTTTGCTTACAAGTCATTAAGCAAAGCCTCAGAAGTTCTGCCCACTTCCACCTGTTTGCGGTTTCCCTATCACCACGTCTTATTGTCTTTTGATGACAACATAATAGTTGTATCGAAAACTGTGGTATTTTTGTGACAAGTACAGAGGACTCTCAAAATCAAATACCACAAAAAGTCTAATATTCGCATTTTTCTTAACTACGGCCATGGGCGTCACGAGGGGGGGGGGGGCAAGGGGGGCACTTGTCCCCCCCTGGAAAAAAAAATTTAAAAAAAAAAGAGGAAAAAGCGGTGCGAAGCCATATTGCTGTTAATTTGATGGGGGGGGGGTACGGCAAATGCTCCCCTGCTCACGCTCGGAAAAATGATAAATTGAGAATATAATGAAAAAGTTAAGGAATTTGGGGAAAAATTAGCTTTGCCCCCCCCCCCCCCCCGGAAAAAATCCTGGCGATGCCCATGACTACGGCCTGTGCCCACATCCGGCTCATTTTTCCAGAACGCCTCACATGTACACAAGTGTGATACAACAAGGACATTTTGGTCTGTGCTGGACAGCGAAGTTCTCTGCTTAACAGCAGCTTGAACCTTGACCCCTGACCTCTCACCTGTTGGCCAATGAGTGGAGGTGATCCAGGTGAGCTTTCTGCTCCTGCAGGTTTCTCAAGTCGTCCTCGTCGGCCACCCAGGAGTTCAGCGTGATGCTGTTGTGGAATTCGTACAACTTGGGATACTCCGCCGTGTCCGCATCACGGTCGTAATATATGTGGTCACTGGGATCAACCTGAAGAAAAAGAAAAAAGATATAATGTCACAGAACAGCTAAGCATAAAATAGTGCCTTACAGCAAATTTACGTGCTTAGCAGAGTCAGCTGGCGGTGGAGGGAGAGATATGAATAGTAGACTAAACCCAAAACTGTCTTTAAGAAATTGAACACAGTGTGGTGATCGAAACAATATGGAAGGCATTAAAGTCAAGTTATACGAAGCACTTCTAGTAAGACCAGTACTTCTCTCTGACTGTGAAATGTGGAAAATTAACGTCATCGTCCCAGGAGTAATGCTATTTTGGAATTTGTACAACTTAGGATACTCCGCCATGTCCGCATGATGGTCGTAGAAATTGAACAAAGATGATGAAAATAGGCTAGACTTGCTCCAATGTCAATGCCTAAAAAGGACCCTTCAAATATTTTGGCCAAACGGCATTGGTAGGAAAAACTATCTCACTCAAATGTTAAAAAAAAAAAAAAAAATCAGGAAGTCTAAACAGAGATGATGGAACTGGACTGGTGATGTTTTAAGGAAGGAACATGACCACCGCTTGACTACCCTTACATGGAAAAACAATCTCACTCAAATGCTAAAAAAAAAAAAAAAATCAGGAAGTCTAAACAGCGATGATGGAACTAGATTGGTCATGTTTTAAGGAAGGAACATGACCACCGCTTGACTACCCTTACATGGCAGGTGGATGGAAAGCGTAGAGTGGGCAGACTAAAAACAACTCAGAGAAGGACAGTTGAAACGGAAAGAAAGCTCGGCGGACGGAGGAAGTGGAATGAAGCTAGGGGATGCGCACATGACAGAGACAAATGGAGGCAGAGCGCGATGGCCTCATGTGCCACAGGGCATGAACAGAATAGGTAGATTAGGCAGAGTCCGCTGGGAACCAGTCAAAAGCAATATACTTTGTTTGATGTTTTTTAAGCTGGTAACCGTTTTTGCTCAGCAAATGTTCTCTAGACGTAGCAAATTTCACTAAAATCGGACCCTTGTATCACCACTGCTGCTACAAAACGAATCAGCAAACTGTCTGTAGAATTGAACAAGGGAATAAATATACAAAGAATGGGCTGAAAGGAACAAACAAAAAACAAAAAAACCAAACAGACGAAGGATCAAAACCAAAGGAATGACTTTGACCAAAACATAAATCAACTAACAAATGGACAGACAAACAACTGCACCAAGAAACAAATCATCAGAGGAATGAGTAAACAAAGGAATAAATATAACAACAAAGGAATGCTGCACTAACAAGTGAAAACGAATGATTCAACAAAGAAATGAATGAAAACAAAAATTAAGGACTGACGAATCAAAGACATAAAAAAGCAAACAAACGAACAAAAAACAAGAACAACCTTATTACCAAACAAAAATATGAATAATCAAAAATGAAAAAAAATCTGAGCCACAAATATCAATCATGACAGGTATTTGAATGACAAACAAGAGGTTATTTTTGCTAACCTCGAAAGAATGCTGGCCTCAAACACATTTCCGTAAACTAAATAATATGTCATTTATGTACACCAAAACAAATCTGTTAAAAATTTGACACATGTGGAACGAAAACATGTAGTGTGTTTATATTCCCATAGAACTACTGGCACTCTTGATGCTTGTTTCATGCTGCTCATCAAATTTTCCCCACACACGCTTGGCCACTTCATAATCGTAAAGTGTTCTCAAAATGGCACGGATGATTTGAAAGGGGTGGGGGGGGGGGTGGGGGTAGAAACAAAATAAAATATGAGGACAAGAGGAATGTTGAATCAGGCAATCCAAACTGAAATGTACAGGGTGATTCAGAATGATCTGGACCCAGATTAAAGAAAGCATTCAAAATATGTAGCTATTATCAAAACAAGTGCAAATGAGATATGTTACAGGCTGGTATTTTGGACATATTTGGTGAAAGTTTCATCCATTGTACCATTCTGAAGAAAAGTGCTAGCAAAAAACACATGCTAAAATACTCTGACCACGGTTCCATGGTTCAACAAATTGATTAAAATCGCGTACTGATGTGAAGCAGTGTAGTAACAAATAAAAATAATGAAAGGTTTGCGGAAACACCATGTGCGAATAATTTCTCAACTAAGAGAATGGTTCTGAAAGAACCAGAGGTATAAACTCTGAGTTTATACCTCTGGTTCTTTTCAGAACCATTCTCTTAGTTGAGAAATTATTCGCACATGGTGTCTCCGCAAACCTTTCATTTTTTAGTATCTCCACCATGCAAAGCCTCAAATCTTACTTAACAAATAAAAAGCTAGTCATGGTGACTGACTCACTTGAAGTTATTGACACATTTAAAAAAGGCAAAACCAATTCCGTGTGCAGATTGGAATATAAGCCACTTCAATGAAAATGGCATAACTCCTCACCACAGCCACTAATTTGAAAAATTCATAATTCCTGTGGAATACAAGGTAATAACCATATGAAACACTTATTTTTTTCTCAGTTCCCTGAATTTTATTTGTCACGCATATTTATACACATGCACAAATCAATGAGTGCGTTTACATTTACGTGATGAAATTGTGCGACTTATCGTGTAAATTTCAAAAATCGCGCAACATGTCGAATATTTGTTCGTTCACACGCGCATGTGCGATATTGCCGCGAGAGATAGTCGTTGCAACAAAATCACACATGTGTGAATAGGCCTTGTGAATTGTTGATTGGTGCCAGACTATTCATGCGTTCCAATCCTCGCTTTCAATTTTCAACATGAGTGTATGATTAATCACAAATTTTAAATTATTCATCGGAGCAGACTAGTATTAATTTGTAATTAGCCCGTGAATAAGGCCTATAGATAACACGTGAATCAACTGTTCAGTCTGCATTAGCTTCCCTGTTGAAAAAAATCTTCAGTGCATGGGACTGCAAGATCGCACTGCCAACCAACTTACAAAAAAATGAAATATTTTTGGTTTAAAATGCAAGACAATGTCCATTTTAAACTAGGTTGGGTGGCACCACTTTTTTTTTTCAAATAGAAATATTTGAAAATGGTGAGCTGAAACACGGTTTTGTTCATGGCCATTTGAACTTCTAAATTTCCATTCTAAATTTTTAGAATTAAGAACCTGGGTGGCAAATGGAAAACATATTCAAAGGCACAAGAGAATATTTGTATTTGACAAGCAATTTTTTGGGGGTTAAAGGTACAAATATAAGGTTCCTATGTCACAATGCGCATAAAATGGCAAGCTTTTCTAATATAGAATTGTGATAATTCATATTGTATATTAATTTTTGAAACAAGGCGATTGTGAGTGTTCTTTTTTGTTGTTACGATAGCATTTTTTTTTAGAATAAGCACGAAAAATGGCCTACAGCCAACATGAAACTATTATAAGATGGAATTTTGCGTCGGGTGACATAAATCAAATTAGGTTTTGCCCTTCACCGACGTTTAAACACTGTATACTCAGTGTGTTACCTCCCGAGTGAAAGCTTTTTTTTTTTCCAGCTTTCACTCGGGAGGTAACACACTGAGTATACAGTGTTTAAACGTCGGTGAAGGAACATGAAACTAACAATACCAAAGAACGTCATGTTTTATCAAAACAGAAAATCTTTTGGACAGCCCATTGTCCAATCAGCCTTGGGTTAATCAATCAGTTCAGACTCCGAAAAAAATCCCTTGTTTAAATGACATGAGCCATGACTAATAATTACAAAATATGAACTACCAGGACATTCCTCACATTTTATGGTTTTCCTGTTTGGTTCTCATTACTCTGTGCTAAATGGAGTTACTATGGCAACAACTCAAATGACGCAAACAGCTAACGAGGGCCTACTCTCAATCAAGGGACCACTGAAACCAGTTAAGTGGATTCCAGGAATGTTTTCTTATTGAAGCTGGAAGACTCTGAGCATTAGGACTAATTTGGTTTCAGACATGTGAACATGATGTATTCATTTTCCATTTATTGGACTGCGGAGTTCTGTTGAACGACTGCAATGGTCAGTCAGTCTTTCATATGTGTGGTACCTCAAAATGGTTTCAAATATCAAACTAAGCTCCGCCACTTTGAACCATTCTGTAAATTTCTGAAATGTTGCCAAAAATGTCAATAAAATTCCCACTTGTTTCAAATTAGGGATAATTGTCAATTTTATAAAAAAGTCTGAAAATGAATGAGAGGTTTGAAAGATGCATTTCTTTCTGTACTGATAATGTCTTTGTCTCAGATTCAAAAAGTCTGATTTCAGACACAAGTCTGAAAAATCTGTAATCAATCCTCCTCATTTTGTTCCAAACTCATGATTACTGGCTAATAAATTATGCTAAATTAAAACCAATCTAAAGCTCCACAGTCTAATTCGATTAACAATTTTCAAGTCTATTTTTTTCATGACCAAATGAAAATCTTGCACAGAAGTCAACGAATGCTTTAGATTTTTTTCTTCCAAATATAAATGTAACACAAATTCTTTCAATGCAATAATGTTAATTTTAAATCTCTTTGCTTCAACTGAAAAGACAGAAATATTATAAATCATGTTCATAATGTTGCCACACCGAGGACATATTTCCAGCTCCCCCTAAATTGCAGTGCACTAATTCTTTGCATACACAAAGAAGTACAATGTGCAATATTTGTTTACCTACCACTAATTAATTTGAGCTCACCCATTTTTCAAGTCCGTGACATACATTTTAGCAGAAACACTAATGTAGACTTCGACAATTTGTTTCAGCACTCAATTTTCAAAGTCGCTTATGATTTTATGAAAGTATGAGCGTGAATGAAGGTCATATGGAACAATATAGTGTGCCCTGAAGACAGAAAAGGCAACCAGGTTTTGGGGGCTGAGTACTCAGCAATCAAATAAATGTATTTGGTAATGTATCAATCCTCAGGCCTTCCTCCGTCTTTTGACACCAAGAAAGCAACAGCATCGTCACGCCCCAGTGGTCATAAACAGTTTGAAGAGATCCTTCCAAAAATGGCTTTGGTCATGCCTCTCTTGAATGAAAACTGTTGGTGGAAACCATAGACATATAATAAAACCTAGACACGACATTTGCTATTTGCGCCTGTGAGCAAAATGCTGCGCGTATAGAATAACTAAGAAGTATGCGCGTAAATCGGAGCCATATGCATGACAATCGCACATCGCGTAATTAAGCCGCGTGACGCAGCCCGTTTTGCTCACAGAATTTACAAAGTAAAAGCAGATAATGTCGTGTCTAGGTTTTATTATATGTCTATGGTGGAAACCTGATGAAAGGGGAAGGCTACTTGAATGGAAACCTGAATGGGGAAGGCTACTTGAATGGAAACCTGAATGAGGAAGGCTACTTGAATGGAAACCTGAATCGGAAACCTGAATGGGGAAGGCTACTTGAATGGAAACCTGAATGGGGAAGGCTACTTGAATGGAAACCTGAATGGGGAAGGCTACTTGAATGGAAACCTGAATGGAAACCTGAATGGGGAAGGCTACTTGTATGGAAACCTGAATGGGGAAGGCTACTTGAATGGAAACCTGAATGGGGAAGGCTACTTGTATGGAAACCTGAATGGAAACCTGAATGGGGAAGGCTACTTGTATGGAAACCTGAATGGGGAAGGCTACTTGAATGGAAACCTGAATGGGGAAGGCTACTTGAATGGAAACCTGAATGGAAACCAGAATGGGGAAGGCTACTTGAATGGAAACCTGAATGGGGAAGGCTACTTGAATGGAAACTTGAATGGAAACCTGAATGGGGAAGGCTACTTGAATGGAAACCTGAATGGAAACCTGAATGGGGAAGGCTACTTGAATGGAAACCTGAATGGGGAAGGCTACTTGAATGGAAACTTGAATGGAAACCTGAATGGGGAAGGCTACTTGTATGAAAACCTGAATCGGAAACCTGAATGGGGAAGGCTACTTGAATGGAAACCTGAATGGGGAAGGCTACTTGAATGGAAACCTGAATCGGAAACCTGAATGGGGAAGGCTACTTGAATGGAAACCTGAATGGGGAAGGCTACTTGAATGGAAACCTGAATGGGGAAGGCTACTTGAATGGAAACCTGAATGGAAACCTGAATGGGGAAGGCTACTTGTATGGAAACCTGAATGGGGAAGGCTACTTGAATGGAAACCTGAATGGGGAAGGCTACTTGAATGGAAACCTGAATGGAAACCAGAATGGGGAAGGCTACTTGAATGGAAACCTGAATGGGGAAGGCTACTTGAATGGAAACTTGAATGGAAACCTGAATGGGGAAGGCTACTTGCATGGAAACCTGAATGGAAACCTGAATGGGGAAGGCTACTTGAATGGAAACCTGAACGGGGAAGGCTACTTGAATGGAAACTTGAATGGAAACCTGAATGGGGAAGGCTACTTGTATGAAAACCTGAATGGGAAAGGCTACTTGAATGGAAACCTGAATGGGGAAGGCTACTTGAATGGAAACCTGAATGGAAACCTGAATGGGGAAGGCTACTTGAATGGAAACCTGAATGGAAACCTGAAAGGGGAAGGCTACTTGAATGGAAACTTGAATGGAAACCTGAATGGGGAAGGCTACTTGTATGGAAACCTGAATGGGGAAGGCTACTTGAATGGAAACCTGAATGGGGAAGGCTACTTGTACGCAGAAGCAGGAACGTCATCATCAAACTGTATAAATCCCTAGTACGGCCACATCTGCACTACTGCATGCAAGCTTTGAATCACCACATGGTTAAAGATAAAGTTGTACTACAGAAGGTCCAAGCCCGAGCTACCAAATTGATCCTGAGCCTGCAGCACTTGCCATATGAAGAACAAATAGCCAGACTTAATCTGGAAGACAGAAGGAGACGGGGTGACCTCATGGAAACATTCAGAATGGTAAACCAAATTGATAAAATCAACCCGGACACCATGTTCAAGAATGCCGACTACAAAGGAACCAGAGGGCACTTTCAGAAATTCGCAAAAACCAGACCAAATCGCAACATAAGAAAATACTTTTTCAGCCAGTGAGTCATTGACGACTGGAATAGTCTGCCAGAGAACGCTGTATCTGCACCCAATCTCCTCAGTTTCAAAATCCAACTAAAAACACAAATGGGTTTATAACCCTGCCACACAAGCTGCCAGAAGAGGACAGAAGTGAAGTGTGGCACTTCAAGGTAAATTCAAGGTAAATACTTGCAAATGATAAACGATGTTGTATGCAACCTCACTATCATCGCAAAGAGGATGGAGTTTTCAAAAGGATATGGTGGGCTCAAGATGGGGCACCTCCTCACTGCAGGGTCATCACCAATATTTCAGATAAAAAAAACCTTGAGAAATCTTTCCTACAGAGTCCACAAACTGAATTAATTGCCAAAGTGACTCAACGTGCAACCTAATAATTGAAGAGAAATCTAAAATTATATTAAATTATGAATTATTATGAATCATTAGATTTTCTCTTCATCTTTTTTTTTCAGATACACTAAAAAAACTTTGAGATTTCTTTTAACAGGGCCCACTAACTGATTGAATTGCAAACGTGATTAATTGTAACCTAAAAATATATTATTGGTGCAACCTAAAAATGTATCATCCGTGCTTCCATGAACACAGATGATTTAAGTCCCTCATGCTTACAAATTATACAAAAAAAATTAAATTGGAAGCCTACAGTACAATCTGTTACGATGCGCTGGACACTTATTTTGAGTTTGGCTGATGCTGTGCTCAGTGTATCAGACAAAGCAAAGTCACAAAGGGAATTTCAGTGCAATGTAATTATCACTGCATATTCTGATATATCTCTGCAAGTTACTGCGACTGACTGGCCAGCGCATGCAGTTATTACGCCCTACGTAAAACAAGACTATGCATATCAACTAAATCTGGTCCCAGAATACACAAATTCTACTCAATTGATTCAAAATGGCTACATGCAAACGGGAAAAGTGTCATCCACGTTTGCAGTTGGCATGGCGACTTTACTTATATGCCTACATATGTACCATGGACCGTTTTACGGACAAATCGGAAGTGTGCGGTGAAGCTAGACTTGTGCTACAAACAGGGATTTCGTGCAGCGCAAAATGTCCCACAATGCAGCGTAACATGTACCTTCAACTGTACATAACTCGGTCTGTAAAGTGGTGTTCAAAAGTGAGTCGGGCATTGAGAAAGTCGGTGAGCCACAAGGTACCGGGTTACCAGTCTAATACACAAGTAACACAGTTAGTCGGGTACAAAGACGACACTATGCTGCAAAAATGGGCTATAACTTGACGTTTTTGTATGGGTCATTCTAGAAATTTAGGGTCCAAAGTCTGACATTTTTTCAGTCCTTGTTACCTTGGTACTTTGCCATTCAAGCATCATTTAGAATGATTTCAAACAATTTTTGATTTGTTGGGTAGGTAGTTTGCTGCTCATAATCACTCTTGGTGGACGACTGCATTAAAGAGTGCATCACAATTATAAAATCAAAGATGTCAGATGTATCAGGGTCGGGAAAAAAATGGACCCCAACTTTATTAAAATGACCATAAACTATCTGAATATTGCAAAACCTTCAAGAGTAATTGATGGATTCCAGGTAGTTGTGAGCTCAAATTATAATTAGCCGTCAGGGAGCACTGTAAGCATCCATCAGAATAAATAATAAATGAAAAATGTCTGCCAAATGGATCCATCTTTCATCCAAATGGCCTCAGGTTTTGAAAGGAGACAATGGAACGATAAATTTTTTGAGCACCATGGTGAACAGATGCAGTATGGGGAGACACAATGGAGCCGTTATCTTCTCATGAATATTTATGAACCAGCGGAGTAAAAGGCAATAAATGACAACCACCGTTGCAAAATGGAAATGAAAAATGGTGAAAGGGGGGGGGGGACCAAAACTGTTTGTACTTGTTAATAAACAATTGATGTCTATCCCTTCTTGAACATACTGAAAATTATTGACTGCATCCTTCAATGCCGATGTCATTTGGGTATATTTTTTCTGGGGATCTCGCATAATTATGCAATTTGGAAGTCATATTGTATAACTAAGAATCGATCTGTAACAATGCTGTGGCTTAGTCAGTTATGTTTCCAATAATTTAATTGGTTATGGGTCATTACATAAATTAGGGGTCCACTTTTTTTTCTGTCTCTGTCACATCTGACATCTATGTTTTTATAATTCTAATGCACTCCTTAACCCTCCTGTCGTTTGAGAAATCACAGACAGTCAAAAAAAATCATGGCTCTGCTAACCACGGAATTCTGCATTTATGATCAAAATTTTTTGCTTACAGTGCTAGCAGAAACATTCTGCGCTAACCCTGAAAGCAAAAGGATCCTTAGTTACAGGATGTATGCATGCGCAGAAGCCAAAATTCCTCGCTACGCAGTGAAATACGCTTACCGTAAGCACATACGGTAAGCACATATATTTCGCTAACAGTAAGCAGAGCCAAGAAAGTGGGCCCTGGTCCCAATTACATGAAACTGAAGAGCTGAAAATATTGATACATCAAAGTCAGTTAGCAAGGGAAATGAAATGACATTTTAGCTGGTAACCATCTTTGTTAATTGACCAAAAAAAAGGGAAAATATACATATGTATGTAATTACACAAAGATACCTCAAGAAAGTTTTCTTCTTCTTCTTCTTCTTATGATTCCTCTGAACAGTTCAACTTGAGCAACACTCTTTAACATTTTCACTCGCGAACTAAAATGGGCAGTTTTATGGACGAATTCGGGCACATGATCACTGTACACTCACGAGGCCCTCTTGCGGACGGAGAAACCATTGTGCATGCTATTGTACAAAGCAACTGCCCCGTGATGGATTACCTGAACAATAGCTAGCACAATGCTTTTGCCATTGAAGGGGGCCTTCGTGATAGAATTGCTAGCGTGCCCTGATTGGTCTTCATGGGGACAGAGGGAGTTGTATGCACCCTAAGGGCCCAAACCCTCTTTCTGTTCAAATATTTCATCGTTGTGAACTCACCTGATTCCATAGGTACGCCCTGCCGTAGTGAACCGGTTCGGCTGGTTCCCTTTTCTTCTGCAGCAATCTGTGCACAAAATAAACTAGTTTACTCCACGTCATGTCAATTAGCTTTTATATTTAAAATCGAAAGATTGACTTTTAATAACGTTACATGCTAAGCCCATAGTAAAGGTGGTCCTAGATCACACACGATTCTATTCAGTTGACTCAGTATGGCTATTCACTGAAAGTATTTTTATGCATCTAATATGTGGACCGGATTTAGCTCATTCATTGGCGTTATGGGATAATCATATACGATAGCACTGCCCGGCTTACATGTAATAGTCAGTCAGTGAGATAGGCACAAAGAAGACATTAGGCTGGCCCTCGGGGATCAACAAAAATAGTAAATGTTAGAGGAGCTTACATTTCAAACAAAGCAGAATCTATACATGGTGAGTAAAAAAAACCGAAACCCAAATGTCGGGACTATTGTTTTATTGAAGTTCTGCATGTACCACTTTCAAAATCTAGTAAATAAAAGCCCAATTCATAAACTTTCTTTTAGAACAAGAATCATTCAAATCAAATAAGAAAGCTTATGAATTGGGCTTTCATATCCTAGATTTTGAAAATGCTTCATGCAGAACTAAACAATGGTCCCAACATTTGGGTTTCCCTTTTTTTTTTTACTCACCCTGTATACTGTTATACTGATTGAAATGTCAGGCCTTTTTCAGGGCTACAGTAAACAGTGAGCTGGCAGTTTCTATTTCACAAGCGGACACATTTTTCAAGAACTATTTTCCGCTTTAACAGTTGAAACCTCCCTCACAACTCCACTTTCCACTTTCCATTCTTCTGTTGGTATCAAACAACGCAATTGTGGGTTTTGCCACAATTGCAGAGCATGAAGTTCATGAGACAGGTCTTACTTGAGTAACAGTGCTTTGGCCTCCAACTGAATCTTGTCGACCGCTGACGACCCCCAACCTGCAATAGCATTCTGGGAACCGATGGCAAGATTTATGGCAAGACGGATCCCATTGATCTAAACAGGGTAAAACAGAGTGACAATTTCTTGTTAGAAAATCACGTGCAAAGATTTGCCAGTGGAGATAAAGGCAATTGTAACATGCCTCTTGCTGGTTCTTCATCCTGGTTGGCTGAAACACGGTCACGTGGGGTTTACTAATATAGGCTACTGCATGAAATTTGTTTCAGTGCAAACTAGACGCGCGTCAAGACATTGCGGGCGCATAATTTCTGGAGTATAGTGCCCAATCGGGCACTGTACTCACAATTTTTGAACGGTTACCGCGCCCTCTCAAAAACCAAAAACCCAAACTCAAAAAGTTAGTCTAGGGAAACTAAAAACGTTCCTTTAATTGTTGAATTGCTTATAGATGAATTGCTTATGAGTTAATTGTTAAATTAAAACAGTTCAATTTAGTTCAATTTAGAATTTAGAAAGCTTTCTTTTCTTATGTTATATTTTGGACATAGGTGTGTTATAAAACACATATGGACTGGCGTAATTCGGTCACTAGTGCATGTCTATGCCCTCTCGGGACTGTTAGTGACCGGAAGAGGGTCCTATTTCCCTATAGGACCCTCTTCTGGTCACTCACAGTCCCTTGAGGTGCATAGACATGCACTAGTGACCTCATTGCCACTCTATGTATACTATATTTCAAGGTTAACAGAAGAAATGAATTAGTGACTGCCTCACTGCTCGTCCTCTCTGTTATAGCGCCCTCAATGGTTCATGCGCAAAGACTATACTGTCTACAAGGGACATGAATTTTCTGGAAGCCTTAATATATTCAACTCAAACTGACACTCTTAATGAAAACATCACCTGCTGTTTTCTACAAAACTTACCATGGCAATGTCGGGGCTGGTTATGAGGGTGTCAAAGGTCACCTCGATGTCATGGTCTGGCAACACGGCCCCTTTGGTCTCTGGATCATATCCCAGACCACACAGTGCGCTGGTTAGTCTGGTCTTGTTCTTATCGGCCCTGGCAAAAAAAGTTTCAAAATAATGATGGAAAACTCTTTAAGTCACAACCAGATGGAAAAAGTCGCAAGCAAACTGCAGTGGAAGTGACCAGTGGTATAGTGACATTGCATGCATGTTGCACACTTTTAAAAGCCGAGGCAAAAATGCATTTTTGCAACCCTATCCTGTCTAGGGGAGTGTGGCCTCGTGGCCAGGGTTTGTGACTCATGATCAGAGGGTCAGGGGTGTGAATCCAGCTGCTGGCTATATGTTGTGTCCTTGGGCAAGCCATTTGCCTATCTCCACCCAGGAGTATAAATGGGTACTGGCATTAAGCTGGTACGGGTAGTAACCTGCGATAGACTGACATCCCATCCAAGTCGTTTCATGCACTGAAACCGGAGATAAACGCCGGCTTTGTGGGCCATATTGGCTTGTAAACGGCTTTTTGTTGTCTAGGGTGCATTGAGTGTGCATGTGACCTGAACTAACTCCACAGTTATTGCTTCAAATTGAGTTTGCTGAATCGGTTTCAATGCTTTGCATCAACCACAGGTCTCCGTGCTAGCCCACAACACTGCCTTTGTCCGATGCCAAAATGCAGGTTTTTTTTTTAAACTTGGTTTCATACTCAGCTTTTTCTTAATTTCTGGCTTAAGAATCATCAAGAAGCATTTCATGGCCTCACCAAATGAAAATTCTCTAGATTTTGGCTGCATATTATAAGATTTGATATTCATGAAACATGGACACACTTTGAGCCAGAGTCTTAGACCTAAAAATGTCTTAACGCCAAAGCTTGTAACGATACAAGATTTTGAACAAAACACGACCAGGTATGCCCAGTAAAGCTGATCCCAGACCCAATTTGCCCAAGGTGTCTACGTAGTCATCTGAGCCAAAGTTCTGGGCCACGGTAAGGCTTATGCCATTCTATTTCACAAGTGTCAGAGAGTCAGTCAATCAGTCAGGCGTAAAGAAGACACTAGGCAGACCCTCTGGCTCTGCCAAAAAAACCCAAAGCCTACCTGAGTTCCATGACTGGGGCAAACAGCATGCAGACTAAGGCAGGTAGATCCGGTATGTTTGGCATTAAGGTGGTGTCTCTAGCTAGCAGCGTGTTGCCCGCGTGGTTCAGACCCACGTGAGCCGCAACCATCATCTTGTCAAACTTCTCCTCGGGGGCGCTGCTCAGGGCGACTGAGTTGACGCTATCCCTCTCCACTTTAGTTGCTCTGGGCATTAAAAGTACGTAGGATCATTTCAGGGGCGGATCCAGGAATTTTTGCAGGTTTTTTTTTTCATCAGCAAACAATTGTGAAATGTAGACAGGTTTTTTTCTCCGGACACTTGGGGGGGGGGGGGGGGGGCGCTGGTACCGTATTTTAATAGGGGGCGTTGTTCAAATTCAACATTATTAACACTAGATTACACAATGGTGTACAAATACCACTTATCTAAACTGCCTCTGTCCGTATTTTGAACAGGCGGACATTATACCAGAATAATTTTTTTGGGGTGTCAGAGCAGGGGGCATTACTTTTTAGGAATTTCTAGGACCAACATTTTTTTTTTTACAGAGCTGTTGTTTTTTTTTACCCCCAACCCCCCCGGATCCGCACCTGCAGTTCCTTTTGTGCATTTTTCCTTTCGTTTGTTTTGTAACAAATTTTCTAAAAGGCTTAAGCAGGATGCATCACAATTAACCTAGTTCAGTTTCAGCTCAGTGGACATGATACATTTTGAGAAAGAGAGAAATCCTACGCATGTTATGGTCTTGTAGTAGATTCCGTTGCTAGTGCTTCCAATTCAAAATTTGCTGTTTCATCTTTCTTAATTGCACCCTCTCGTGTGCAATCCTTAAATCAGCATTTGGGACATGATTCTCAATCAGGTGGTTAGTGTAACATTGAGTACTTTGCAGCGATTTATGCAATTTTTTTTTTCAGGAAATTTCAGAAGTAACTCCTTTTGTTTCAATCACAATTGTTTAACATTTTTGCTGAAGGCAACTAGCAACACAGCTTACTTGAGTCTTCCAACTCGGGTCATACTGCCAAAGCTGAACTCATACGGACTGTTGGGACCTCGCAGAAATGCCTGGAGCAGAAGTGGGAAGAAAAGTGAGATAGTAACTAAATGAGTTGCCGAGTGGTACAGCTCAGAATAATTAGTGAGTTACATTTCAGAACTGCTGTAGACTTTTGGTTTAATAATGGAGTCTTATATAGCGCACGTATCTACCAACAATTAGGTACTCAAGGTGCAGGAAATTATGTCTATTATCAGAGAAAGGTAAATAAAGTTTATGAAAAACTTGAGACCCATTATGTAGCACCTTATAAGGGTTTACAAGGTGCTGCGGCGCATATTGCAGCCACTGCCAGAAACACCGGGGCAAACCCCTTCTCTTAGCGATAAGTGTAACTGGGTTCTTTAACGTGCATTACACAAAACACGGGAACTACAGCTTCACATCCCATCCGAAGGACGAAAGCAATAATGGTAAAGTGCCTTGCTCAAGAGCACGAGCACCGTTTTCCCATGGTCAGGATTCGAACCCATGTACCATGGCACACGAGTCGAACACCGTAACCATTGGACCACACCATCCCACACATGGTTTATAGCCAATCAAAACACCCAAGAAAATTGAGGGAACTATACAATTTTGCGGATCTTTTTCCTGAAAGTATCTGAACACAGGACTGAGGGGAGGAATAAATCCAGGGTGGTTTGGCCGCGGACGGTGAATTAGTCGCTAATCTCGGAATGTGCAACTCACAATTCCCAGGGAAACTACTGAATATAGGTCACGTATGATCAGCCTGAAACCCAATCCATTAAGGAGGCACTGATGATTAGATTAAGCCAAATTCAATTTTTGTTTTGTGTGTGGTTGTAAAGTGAGTCTGCCTTTACAGTTTCATGGAAGAATATGTTTTCTCCAAAAATGGAATATTTCCTTGATTTTTGAACTACCAGGGAAGGGAAGGAATATGATATTTAGAACTTAAAGGCAATATACAACATTTGCTTTTGCTGTAATTTTCAGAAATGGATAGATTTGGGGGTGAGTATTTCACAGCAAATATTGTTACACTGACCTATTTAAGGTTTTGTGCTCATAAATGCTGGAAAAAAGAAAAGAAAAAAAAGCTGTTCTTGTAGTCTGGTTACCTGACCCTACTTCAGACTAAACAGAGCAATTTATAGACATTGGGCAAATGTCAGGACAGGGAACCAGATTAGCTGGCTTGCAGGGGTTCTTATTGCACCTACCTTGCCCCTTGGCCTGGCTCTCTGCTCACTGGTTCCCAGCAGTGTCGCCCGGGGAACCTCCACCCAGCCGGAATCCACAAACTTGTAGTCGGCTTCTTCTTGCCTCTGTAGATTGTTCAGCTGTAAGCGCAATAGATTTTTCAGATAATAAGTAACCATCAATTCAATCAGACACAATTTTTTATTTTCAATTTGTAGATCAAATAACGTGTAAAATAAATCTAAACTGTTCTTCACCAATTACCACTTGATGCAGCAAGAAAACCATAGAGCGCTTGGGTGGTTTTGGGCAGTCTAGGGCGTAACAGGAAGGGCGCTTTGGGGCGGTACAGGGACTCATGTGTTAATTCATTAAAATCTCCTGTAGGGTTAGTATTAAATAATAAAACAAGATGCATTAACCCTAACTCCCTAGGCATTTTTGCTAGGATGCAACCTCAATCCTGCAAAATCCTCCAACTGCCTCCATGTAAAAATTGCATACAGCCTCAATCCTGCAAACTCTTCCGTTATTTCTTGAATGTGACGGAGGATTTCAAGTATAATTTAGGCCTAAATGTATGCATGGCTGAGCATAAACAACACAAGGTCCGGCCCAAGACCTTGACACAGTGCTTCCTCCAAAATCAGCCACACATTTTTGCCATGTAGCCTCAATCCTGCAAAATCCTCCATTTTGCAAAGAGTATTTTGAAGGATTTGGAAAGGTTGGGGTTAATTACTGTATTATTTTGAATTACTACATGTATGTATAAGGCAACTCTCAAAATTCCCACACGGGAAACCATCATTTCTTTACCCTCAACAGCAAAGCTGTAAATTTCGTATATCTGCCTTGCTAAGTTAGCAATGTAAGATGACCGCATTAGATAGCTACATCTTTATTTGTTGCACATGTTGTTGAGTTACATTACACACTGAGTGACTTCATGAAAACTTGTTGCACAATTGTATGCAAAAAAGGGGAGGATCACGACTAGCCTGGTTAAAAATTATTCAATGAATAAGATTGGGTATCTGAAATTCTAATGGTAATTTATTTTGACCAATATGTTCATATTTTGAATTATTCATGAGAAAATTGTCTAACTTTAGACCTCACTCAGTAACAGACTAAAATGTCCCTTTCAACTAAAAAAAAAGTTTGACATAAAGATTTAAGTTTCAGGAATTAACCCTAACTCCCTAGGGGGTGTGCAAAATTATATTAAAATTGGAGGATTCAGGACTGTTAGGGCTATTGAAAAACATTAAATAAATAATAGTATATTTGGCCGAAAAAAAAAAGTCTCCGGGTATGGAGCTTGCCCAAAAAGTGGTGCGGCGACGCGGCTTTTTTTTTTTTAACCTGATTTTTTGCTTCAAATGTGTGCTGACGACTGCAAATGGTGCCCGACTAAACTTAGTGCAAATATATGGGAGTCCAGAGAGGCCACATAAAGGTTATTCTCGACCATAACCCAATCTAAAAACACGTTAAAATTGTGCAGCAGCAGGATTCCAGTCAAACCAGTGAGTTTGGCGGTTTTGAGACATCATCTTTCATTGAAAAAAACTTTTTCATTTTGCCGACGCGCATGGCTACGGCGACGCGCGCGCATACCAGAAACCGGAGACTTTTTTTTTGGCCTTACATAGTTGGCATTACAACAAATAAATGAAGCTACAATTCTGGCACAAAACGGAACAAAAATAAAGCCAGTGGCATATGCCGCGAAGAGAAACATTAACTTCGAAACTGTTTCTCCTGATGATCTCCACGGACTACTACATCCCTAGAAATCCTTCTACAATTAGTTTGACATTCACAAGACCTTTTCCCTCCCCCTCAAGGCAATTGAATACGCTGGAAAATTTATCTGGGTCCCACATTGTAGATGTTTCGGTTCATCTTGTTTATTAGTCCAAAAGCCTTGAAGATGCAAAAAACGTTATTTCCTAGGGACCCCACATTTGGAGATTTACACCGTACGTGTGATTAATTCTTGTCAGCGTTAACAGCCCGAGGGAACGAACAAAGCCAGCGTGACTCGGCCGCGAAGCAGTCGCTAACCTCCAAAGTCACAACCCGCAATTCCCAAGGAAGGACTGAATATAGGTCATGTATGATCGCTCCGAAACCCAATCCATTAAGGAGGCACTGATGATTAGATTAATCCAAATCGAAAACCTTTTCTTCTTTTCCGGCTGTAACGCGAGTTTGCCTTCACAGTTTCACGGAAGAAACAACATATTTTTTCCCCTAAAAATAGAATAAATCCTCTGTTTTCAAACAAGGAAGGAAAGGAATCTGATAAGTAGAACTCAAGGGAGCACACTGATTACTGTTTTCCTCCTTGTGAAGAAGAAGTGGCTGGGGTTTTTTCAATTTGAAAAAAGAGTGTAAAAAACTTACTTCTTAAAAAAAAATATTATTTGATGTTTTTTGGAGGCCTAAATATGAAGTCAGGATATCCATGTAAATTTACATTCAATTTTCATCAAAATATTTATTTTATGCCACTTACGAAGTGCAGGTAAACAGTGTTTTAAAAGAGTGTACTTCAACTGCCCTAGTATTATCTTGAGCAGAGTATACTGTATTGCATCCCTATATTTAACCTCACTTCTACCTGTAAGTACTTTTTCATTATCCAATTTACTCACCAACGTTCACCGATTTATCTAATCCTACACAATTCTGGAAAAATATTTTTGTTGGACTTGTGTGGGTTAAAACACCAACTGAAATATCCAATTTGTCGAGTAGCTTGTACCGGCCCCAACATTTGTATCGACTATCCACCCGAAATAACCATGTACACATAACACATCACTTATCACTAAGTGATGTAACACAAGTACAGATGCAGCGGTCCTTTAGATCATAACAACACACGGACGAGAATCGTATGCCGTCACATCCACAAACGACATGACGTGAGATGTCCAAGTCCAATTAGAGTTCAATAAAAAAACACTCTTACTGCACTTAATCTGTATCCAAAGCCACCCACTTACAGCAAAGTCAGGATATTTTCTGCCCTACTTTCTCCAGAGGCCATGAAATTTTGCCAGTGTTTTAAAGAAGCAATGAGTCCATTTGTTTTCTGAATGATAAGAATATCTTCTGTTTTTTCTTGTGCATTACATACAGAGTAACGTGAGGTGTGTTGATCTAGTGAAAGCCTTTGTGTTCAGGAGAAGTGTTAACAGAATTACAAAAAGGACACAATACAAAAACCATCCCTTTCTGACTAACACACACACGCATCCACATTTTGCCTGGCCTGATGTGCACAGCCATGTACAGAACTCATTGTGTTTGTGTCTGCAGGGGCAGGTAAGCTATGAGTTATTTAAGTGCTGCAGTGCTTGTACTGTGAGAATGACTCATATTCATACTCGTGCTTGCAAGAAGAAAATACCTATACTAGTACTCGTAACAATGTATTCATATTTGTACTCATGAAAATATTCTCCCACTGCAATTTTACATATTTTTAGGTGATGTATGCAGAAAAATGACCAATTTTCTACTGTTTGGGATGCTTTTCCATTTGTCTAATACTTACTTTGACAGCAAAAAGGGCCATGAGATGACATGTATCCATTGAAATGTGCTCATACTCATGTGCTCAGTACACATACTCGTACCCAGGGGAAAATTCCTTGTACAGTGGAACGCCGCTATACCGAACACTGCTATACCGAACATTCGGCTATACCGAACATCGTCCTTGGCTCCCGGTTTTAATGTACAAAACGTACCGAACATCGTTGTTAAAAAAATCAACAGATGAACCAAAAATCTACCGGTATATATGTATTAAACACTGTTTGGGCCACTTTTAATTCCTGAACATCAAACGACCCATGGTTACATCATGTTTGAATGTTGAAGAGCAATAGATGGCCATTATGTCCCCAAGGAATACAAGGGAAAACCACCCGTTTCTGAGTTTGTGACGACTCCTCGTGCGACCGCGGAATGTGAGTAATGCCAGTTCGCTATTGAGTCAAAAGGGGGTACCGGCGGTTCAAAATCACTATACCGAACGATCATTATTGTGGATCCCAAGATGTTCGTTATAGCGACGTTCCACTGTACTAGTACTCACACTCCTACTCATTGCAAGGTACTCGTACTCACATTCGTACTCAGTACTCCTCGTATACCCACAGAAATGTACTAAATTCCAACATTTATTTTATTTTACTATGGCAGTAGAAAGGGGTATTTTTTTTTAGTGTAGGCACACTGTCTCAAGTCTTCACAAATTACTAAAACCACAAAATGACATTGAAATCTTTAATATAAACAGAGGCAAAATAAAAATAATTACAACAAACCTAAATAGCAACAATTCACTGTCCACAGAATCAGTGTCCACACATTTAGCGCCCCATTCACTGGCGTCTATCGATCCATTCATCAGAAAAAAACCTGCAAAGCGTCTAGCAAACTAGATCTGCATAAATTACAGTTACCTTGGAGACGTATGGTTCCTCCGCTCGATCCGCTACTTCTTCCCTGATCAACAGTTGATTGATGTGGAGTGAGGGTTCCTGGGAGCAGTCGTACAGATCCACGCGCAGCGTGCCACTCACCACAGAAAACACCTGCGCAAGAAAGTGACGCATGTTTCTATTTATAAGGAGTTAGATTAATGACAAAAAATTGGTTGTGTAAAATAATTTATAATACAGCATACAACTTTATTTCTGAGTTAAAGGTAGGGTAGATCTTACTTGTCATTTTTCAACATTGATTTTGTTCGTTTGAAGCAACAAAAGTGCTCAAAATCTAAAGATGGGTATTTAACATACCTGATGAACTTTTAGCTCAGTAAATGCTGTATATTCCAAGAAAATGTATGACAAGAACAACAACTGTCCCACTGGGTTGATTTTTTGAAAAATTATAATTTTGTACCTCAAAATTCATTCACGTAGTTATTACAAAAACTGTGAGTTTTCAATGTGTAGTTACGTGAACATTTTATAATGAACAGGTTTTAGAGCCAAGAAGGGTGCACTCTGCTCCACAGTGCCCCTTTAACCCCATACTTCTCTGCATATTAGTGACAACTGAATTTTAAACAATCTTGCTGTTTGTATTGAATTGCTGGCACAATTTCCTGCTGTTTTTAAATTACAAACGAAATAACAAAACCATTCATTTTCCCACACCACATTCTTGCAAAAATGTAATGGAAATATTAACAAGCACATCTTTTCTGTAATGCATAATAAATGCATTATTATTTCAAATATTCATTTTATTCATAAAAGGGGGGGGGGGAGGAAGCAAACAGTTGATTTTGTGTTGGCATTGGTTACTTCTTTTAGGTATGCTTGAAAACAGATTTTGTGACCGGAGCATTACTTTTTCCGCTTTATGCCGACCGTTCCGTCGCGGCGCAAACAAATTGCAGGTCGACCTGAGGCCGCCCTTAGATTACGCTGTTCGGGCAGATGAAAGAACAAATCAACAAAGGATTACAACTGTAAGTTTACTGACAGAAACCGAGCAATGCAAATGGAAACATGCCATTAGCAAGGATGCGTCAAGGCTATCGAGACACTGGGAAAGTGGTTGAGAGAAATAATGAATAGAAAAAACTGAGAGAATTTCTTAAGACGTCAGACTTGAAAGTCAAGGATCTTGTCCTAATGGTGTTTCTATTTTTATTGTATCAATTTAACCCACAAACAAAAGAACTTATCCTTTGTGACATGGTATAAGCAACTTGAAAAGCTAACGCAATTAGATTGCAACGTTCAAAGGCGGCCTTGTTGTTATGGCAACTGTCCCTTGTCAAACCCCTCCATTTCAAAGAAAAGGTTAGAGGAAAAAGACTAGGGATTGTGGTTTTTCTTATAAGCCCAAGGACAGACTAGGGACAGGAAAGCTGTCTCATATTTTGAAAGCTTGGAATAAAGCTGCTTGGGTTTTACACAGGAAAGCAGTGACACGAGTTTGGAAGTGAAGTGTAAGTATTCATTCTTAAACATAAATGAAAATACAATGTTTGGCGCATACTTTTCGATTCAAAATTGTAAAAACGCAGCTCCTGTACATGAAAATCCATGCTATAGTACTAAAGACGTGACTTTAAATTACCGATGACTTTAAAATGGACACCATTCGCAAAAAAATATGTATTTCTCCCGAGTCAAGGAATACAAATATGAAGCAGGTTATTAAATACTAAACTGTAGAAATTTCAGCTCAGTACATACATTCGTATCAATGAGAAAGTTGTAAAAATGCTGCTTCAATGTTCTCAAAGCAAAGCAAGCTTTCTGTTGAAAGCCCTCCCAGCCAAAATGTTCGTAAATATATTTTGTACTAGCGCCCTCTTGTGCTTGATCGCCAGATCGTCACTTGGGAAAATTATTCTTATTTACAGGATGCTAATTCCTCTTTTCTTGAAACTGACAGCACACCAGGCGCACTGATTTCACAGGATGTTTCATCTTATCACGGATCCTCTACTCAAGGATAAACAACTCGTCTGAGCTTGTGTACAAAATGCACGGAATGGATTGTCTACATGCGTGATAATGCGCGTCCGCGCATAGAACAACGCATAGAACATGTAGAACAATGCGCGCGTGCCATGAATCCCCGACAGCTGCAGGCGCAGAATATGAAATCTCGATGAAACCTGTCAGAAAGTTGACTGCAGTCGCGTGCTGAGTCTCGCACATGGGTGACGTGCAAAGGCCGTATCACGCATGTAACCAGAAATTTGGGGAAGTCGTTTATCCTTGAGTGATCTGTGATCCTATTATATACTTACGACAATAAATTTCACATTTTTGCAGTTTTGTTTTGAATATTTGCATATGGTGTCTATTACCTTTGAATTATATTGTGCAACCATTCTACTTAAATGTAAGACCATTCTTGATTTATCTGTTCAATTTTTACATTTAAGTAAACATAGAGTCAAAGCTTCGATGGTAAACCGGTTCACTTGCACGTGTTGCTAAATTTGAAGTTTGGGGGATTCATATTTAGTCAAACTAAATCCTTATGATCCTTCCAATTGAATTGATCACATGACGTCCACTGACAGTTTGATTGGTTGAAAACCCCCGAATCAGTTTTTCCACTAATGCATTGGAATTAGTAGCTCGAGGGGCTATATTGTTGACGGCTCGTTCCCACCTGCTAAAACCATCTGCCAAAGATGCATGTCAAAATCGGGAAAGAAAGGAATATTTTTATGGACAGTAATCCATGCCTAAATCTGCTTCAGGCTTGAAAGGCTCTGGTGTATTGGAGTGAGGGGTTCGGCGAAGCGGAATCTGTGGTGAATGGGGTGTTTGTTTATTGAAGCAGAGGTGTGTTGTACTGAATCAATAGCATGTGAAACCAGAAATAAGAAAAAGGCAAGCAACTGCATAAAATGTTTATTTGCTTTGCACTCTTTGGCACAATATAACCAGAGCTGTGGTAAATTGCTGTTAACCTGTTCGTGAAATTCCAGCGCTATGGAAGACAAGGTGATCCGCGGATCGCAGTGGCGCCCTTTTTCTGCGGTTGATCCTTGTATGTTTTGTGTTCTTAAAGAAAGTCACATTTTGTGCATTTTTAAACAATGACCTCAAATGACCCCTACATGACCTTTGATCTCCAATTTTTGGAAGATTTGTCATGAACCCCCACCCAAGGATCACTCCATCTAAGTTACATTGAACTCCATCAAATTCTGTAGACCAAGAAACATTTGAAGCATATTTGAACAATGACCTCTAATGACCACTACATGGCCTTTGACCTCAGTAATGCGATAGAGAATTATGTCTTCCCACCCAAGGGTCACTGCATCTAAGTTTCATCAAAATCCCTGAAAGCATGTAGAAGTTACACCTTTTTTCAAAAACTTAACCTAAACTTTAACGTACACACGGTCATCCCAGCAGACGGAAGTTCTGGGGTACTGCATTGTTGTCCCTTTATCCCTTTTCTTTAGAATTTCACTTCTAGGGTACCGTTTTCCTATAGAGTGAGTAGTGGGGTAGCATTGTTCCCTAAATTTCCCTTTGTATGAATACCCTACAAAGTAGCTGTGGTAAGAACGAGGATACAGGTCTGCAGGGATAAGGTCATACAGAATTTAAGACTGGTAAGCGTCACCCAAAACTTCGTTTAGGCGACACACAAATGTAATGTCCGTGACAGAGCCAATTAACCATGATTTCTTATTAATGATTCAGAGGAATGATCCAAACTCCTAGTCTGTAATCTCCTTGACCATTGCTAGATGATGGAATGTATAAGATTCGAAAAATACATTTTCAGGTTTATTCAATGATCTCTTTAAGTACAAAAAATGTCAGGTTTGTGATTGTGATGTCCGTGAGACTGGAATTGCCCATTAGTAAAATTTGTAACTGGACCCAGAAAACAAATTAAATTTGTTCTTTCTTTTTTTACAAATAAAGAAAAAACAAACTTGTCATTTGACAGAAACATGACATGTGCATACCTCTCCAAAGAAAGAAAAATGTTTAAACAAGGAAAATTAGCTTTGCCAAAAGCAGATTATGAAAGAATGGGGGGCACATTTGACCAAATAAGAGCCAGCCTTTATTTGAGAATCTCTTCAATTATCATTTATTTAAGACATATTTTAAAACCATTTCTTGCAGTAATATTAAGGGTACATTTTTTTTAAGGTGGTGTGGGGGTTGGGAGTTGGGAGTTGGAGAGGGATACCTGGTATAATATTATTGTGGTGTTTATTTAACTGCTTTATACCAAATGTCTCAAAGCGCTTCACAATTATTATCCCTGTTCATCAGGCTACGAGATCATTCTCTGCAGCAGCTCAAGATCATGTCAATCTGGTCTCTACCTTCACAGGTACCCATTTATGCTCCTGGGTGCAGAGAGGCAATTGTAGTAAAGTGTCTCGCCCAAGAACACAAGAACCACCCACATACGATTGCGCAGTCAGACACCGTGACTATTGGACTGCAGCACATCACGTGGTTTCTACTGGTCTATTTTTTGTTTGTTTTTTAGTTCTTTAAGAAGAAATGCAGAGGGAAAGCGCTTACCTTCGCCGTCATGATTCTATTACAGGCCAGCTGAGTTAGTCGCTGGGTTGCTACGGGCAACCACTGGTTGTTAGGCAGGTGATAGAATGGCTTGGTCTCACACAGGACGCACTCAAAAGCCTGTTGCGGAAAAACAAATAAGGTAAGATCACTTTGGTGGTCGAGCGGTAAGACGTCTGCACTAGTAAGCAGGAGGTCGGGTGTTCCAGTCCAACCCAGGCAAGCTTGTGGATATTTTTCTTGCAAGCCCTCGGACAACACTGAGTGTACACTATTAACAAAATGCCATTTGGTAAAGGGCAAACCCAGTTCTGAATGTTGCAATCCACAATAAGAGATATCTGATCACTGTTTCTTCCCTTTGATTTTACCTGAAATGGTATTTCTAGCAGACTTCTGGGCATCTTTCGCAATTCCTGCTTATCAACTTCTCCTAGATTCCCGTAGTCCAAATAGAACACCTGAAGAATAAACGATAACAGTTTAAAATTATTTTTCAGTAGGTTCAGATGTTAAAAAATATTGTAACTCACTCTCAACTCAGAGCTAACATGGTAATGGAGTATTTACATTTGTTTACATTGGTTTTTTTAAAGTAATTATTATGAAACTTAATAAGTTTACAAAACTAAATTAAATATGGAAATCAAATCTGAAGTTGGTAATATTTTGAAAGAGGTTTCTTCACTACATTTTGAATCAAATTGACAAAGCTACATCCCCTTTTTTGGGGGGGGATGGAATGTTCCATTTCATAAAGTGAGCTCTCACTATAAAATGGCAAGGGGCAAAATTTCGGATAAAACCAAGACTGACCGACAAAAATAAAAAAACTGCCTTACAATTTTAAGAGTCCAATAGTTTTACCAGACCAGTGTCAACATTAGAAGCAGTCAATGTTAGAAGCAGCATGTGACTGGCTCTCAGCCAATCAAGATACAGAATCTGTGGGTAAGGTGTTACAAAAAATCACTAGACTTGGTCCAGTGGTCCATGGATTCCACCATCCCTGTTGGTGTCAACCTAACCTACCCTGACTCTGTTCCCGTTAGTCTGCACGGCCTCAATGCGTGATCTGTAATACTTCCTGTCATTCTCCTCATCAGTGAACGGGGCCAAGCAGTACACTCCTGCCTTAGGCTGCTCATCAAGCTAAGAAAGGAATCGTACCAAAATAATGTTAACCCATTAACACTAGTGCTACATTATATTACATTGTATCACAGTGTATTACACTTCATTGTTTATTCCCTGATGAACACATCATACGAGAGTGCTTGGGCAGTTTTAGTTGGTATAGGGAGTAGCAGGCAGTGCGTTTTTGGGCAGTACAGGGAGTAACGGACAGGGTGGTTTGCGGTGGTTCAGGGAGTAGCAGGCAGGGTGGATTGGGGCAGTACAGGGGAGTAACAGGCAGGGTGGTTTGGGGCAGTAAAGGGAGTTATAGGCAGGGTGATTTGGGGTGGTACAGGGAGTAACAGGCTGGGTGGCTTAGGGCGGTACAGAGAGTAACAGGCTGGGCGGTTTAGGGCAGTACAGGGAGTAACAGGCAGGATGGTTTGGGGCGGTACAGGGAGTAACAGGCTGGGTGGTATGGGGCAGTACACGGAGCAACAGGCAGGGCAGTTTGGGGCAGTACACGGAGCAACAGGCAGGGTGGTATGCGGTGGTACCAGGAATTACAAGAAGGGCGGTTTAGGGTGGTACAGGCACTAATGGGTTAAGCCTAACCCTGCCAGATGCAACACAGCGCAACAGGTGTAAAATTCTGTGGGACCTCGCTGCATTGAGCCATCAATACCAGTGCATAAACAGCGAATTCTGAATCAATGAGAGCTAGTCCCATTGAACAATGCCACTGTTGTATCCTGTGGCAGTTGGTGACCACAGACTCTGAGGCAGTTTGGCCTTCAGATTTTTTACCTGATGGATCTTGCTGCACTGAGCAGGCTTCTTACTTTGACAAGCATTGTAAGTTGTTGCATTAAACAGGTTTTCTAGATAAAATACCCTGGAGGATTATTTGCTGTTTTTATTTGCAGCACTATATTTTCTTTTGGTAAAATGGGCAGAGTGAATCTTTAGGTACCAAGGAATATAATTTTCTTCTTAAGCTTCTGAACACCAACTGAGCTGTCTAGCCCAGTGTCGGCAGTTCCACCATTTGTCAACATCTTTATTCAAAGGGCGCTAGTCAGACCTATGCATGCCATGTAGCCAGCGATCAAGCCCAAAGTCACAAAGCTAGCAACAATGATAAATGATTTATTAACGCTCAATTATACAAGACACTCACCAGTACACTCCGCATGCTTGGACCATTGGTTTGTCTCATGATGTTATCCAGATGCTTGAAGGTTTCCTGATCGGCATAGTGGGCCCAGAAACGATTGCCGTCCACAACCTAGAAGAGAAAGCGTGAAATTCAGACCTAAATCAGCACTGTTAATAAGTATCTCAAGTAATTTCAGATCCACAATAGCAGTGCTACGGTGCATTTAAGAACTTCACTAAATCAGAGTTATATTTTTGGCATGTTGAGGATTAATGTTGAAAGAGTATTTTTTGCGAAAAGTAAATATTCATCGCACAACTGTCAAGAAATTGTTGGAATTTCTCTCATAAAGTTTGAAAATCACACAGAAAAATGGCAGACCATAGACTGTGGCTGAATCTCATGTTGGACAATTATTTTGTTTTTGTTACTGTTACTTCATTTCCAGGTAAATCACTTCAATATGGAATAATTTCACGGGGCGTTTACTACCGGTGCAACATTTTAGTAATGACTATTTCACGAAAGTTTAATAGTGCGTAAGTGCATAACAAAATTATGGCTTAACTTGCTCAATCATTTTCGGTGGCGTAAGCTGTGGTGTAGCAACTTAAAATGATCTATTTTACCAGCAAATCGTGATTGTCGTGGAGCTTGTTATTGCACAACTTATCAGTGTTGATATAAGACACTAAAAGCTTTGTGTTTGAATAAAAATAATTGCTATTTTACTTGTGACAGCGTTTTTAGAGTTGCAGCACAATTCTGAAAAAAAATATTTCCAAAATGGCGGTTGGATCTGATTCAACGACTGTTTCGTGACCGAACAAAATCATACACAGTCATTGTTACTGCTGTTATTATCCTCGTCCAGGAGGTTTTGATTATTTAAAACGTAGCGCAGGTACGCCAAGTTTTGCTTATTGTAAGCTTATTGCGCAGCTGCACAAAAACTTTGTAAGCAAGGCATACGTTACGCACCGTTTCCTGAAAGCGGCTGCTGTAGTCTTTAGTCTATGAAATGATATACATTTTCTCCAGGTTTTTAGTTTGTTTTGGGGGTTTTAGGACATAAAACTGGCTCACAAAAGTGTACACTTATTTCGTTTTGCAACATCCCAAAGACTCGGCAATGTGTTGCCATGAAAATTACAATGCATTTAATCTGGTAACCAGCAGGTCAAGGGAACACATTACCTCTGTGACATAGATATCAACCCAGTTCTTATTGGCCGGCGGCAAGGGAACCTGTCTGGGCGCACTGGTGTCAACTGAAGCAGACAATCTATTAAAACAAAAATCAATTAAATACAATTAAGATGAACGAAAAGTTTTTAAACCCTTGTAATTACTTCAAAATCCTATGAGAGGTTTGGAGGATTCTAAGGATTGAGGAAAGTAGACATAGACACTGAGGTAGTGTTTAAGACTAGCACCCCCCCCAAACCTTGAATAGGCTTCGTCTTCCATTCAGCCAAATATTGTCAAGATGACCTTAATCCTAACTGTCCCAATTCCTCCAAAATCCTCTTTGAATAATGGAGAATTTCGAGGGAATGAGGGCCTTTGAAAATTGAAGCACTGGAGGATTTTGCAGGATTGTAGGCACAACAGGATTTTGCCTCCTGAGGATAATGGAGGATCCAGGCTACCAGGCCCCAACTGAGGCTGGATGAAATTGGAGAATTGAGGCTAAAAAAAGAGAAGATTTTGGAGGATTCAGGCCGATACTTGCTTTATGTATGCATGCTTGGGCAGGCATCCAGCATATACCACTGTTTATTGTGGTACAGCCTCTTTACTCCAACTGTTTAGGGCCTTGGCACTGCCAATCCACAATACAGGATAACAATGAGTATTTCAATAAGTTACACAGGCTAATGAACTCTTGAGAGCATTGAAAATACAATTATGTGATAACATGACTGCAAACCCAGGGGACGATTTTGAAGGATCCAGGCACAGGCCTCCAGTAAATTGTTTTGAAGGATTCAGGTGCTTAGAGTTTTTTGTAATCTTTGCCATTGGAGGATAGTGCAGGATTCAGGCTGCTTCTGGGCAAAAGAACTTAGGGAGTTAAGGTTTAATAAAACCACTTTAGAACCTTTGCGAAGAATTTTAATGTCTTGAAATTTAGTCTAAAAGTGGTGTTTGGCCTTTGGGCACAAAATTGGTTGCAGGATTTTCTTATGTGGCACACTTTAACAAATCTTAGAAATTTCATGGTGAGTATGTAAGAATTTCTCCAACGTTGACAAATTATGATAAACAATTCTCACTTCCACTCGCGTATCCAATACTTGTTTTCTTAGTTTTGGGGCATGGTTTAAAAGGGTTCACTGCGTACCTCAAAATAAAGTGGGAAAAATGCACAGAAAAAAACCCCCAAATAATTCTCTTGTAACTTTGTAAGAGATCAGTGAGCTGAAGATTCATAAACGTTACGTGGATATCTATTTATGAAACTTGGGGTAAAACCAACGCTCTGGCAGAGCTGTAGAGGTAAGTAATCAAAGCTTGCCATATAGTTGGGTGTTTGTGAAGAGGTTTGCTAGGGTAGGGTAGGGGAAGGCCTAGTCCCTTTCACCTGTTGGTTCTGAGCTGTCTGGATGACTGCGAGGCATTGTCCTTGGCCTCCTCGACAACTTTGACGTCCGCCTCATCAATCTCATACATCTGGATGGCCAGAGGGATGCGTAGCAACCTAACCAAATTCGAAGATGGAAGTTTTCATGACGTCATAATCATTGTGTTTTGAGCGGCCGTGCAATGAGTAATAAAAAGTAACACATACATTTAGTATGGGTCTGTAAAGAGCATCCGTCAAGGCCATAGACATTAATATACTTGTTTGCTGAACATGAGGGGACAAACCAATACAAGGTGGTACCCAAAAAAAATTTACACTTTTTCAGAGGCAGATTTTCCTATATTTGAAGAGACACATTAAAACTGTTTTAAGATATTCCTGAGAAACATTTTTGTTTTAATAATCGGTTTCAGATTTATTGTATTGTATCTAGTTTTTACTTTAAAAAAAAAAACACTCATACTCAACATCACATTTAGCATGCAGTGGTAATGTTGACCTTAGTACCGTTTCAGTGAGTATCAGCGTTTCCCCTGCCCATTCTTTTGTGAGGCGGCCCGCCTCGGGACTTTTTGAGGCTGCCTCGGCCTTTTTTGGCAAATATCGCCGCCTCATGGGTACGAAAAAGGAATTAAAAAAAATATTATAGGCAAATCTGTGCATTTTATGTGTGTGTCTTGGTATTTCACCTTCGTATTCTCCGGACTAATTGTTAGTGTTCTTTGAGATCGTCATTCGTGCCGTGAACGAAGACGATGCACGTCCAATTCTCGAGCTAGTATGGAGCCTTTTCAACGTCCGTGTGTATATTACTGGTCGAGTCTGGGTGCATGTCGGACTCGAGATTTTCGACTGAGTGACGAAGTGACAATGATCCCATTTATGGATACACTGCGCAATCCTAAAATGAACGCACAGATCCTCCGTGCTTAACAAGGCAGATAGTCCCAGAATGCTGCGCGCGTTCCGGCTGATTCGCAGTGAGCTCCTCATGTGCAATTGGGCACGTGGTGCGACAATCGTTGGTTGCACAGCACGCGTGCATACATTATGTATGACCCAGGTACCCTGCTCAGCCTGCCGAGCATTCGGTGAATGCAATTTTTTCGTTTTCAAAAAAAAGGCTACAAAACTGTACCAGGTAATGGTTTTCCAATCAAAAATCCTCAAAATACATGCATCATAGTCCATGAAATGGGGTTTATTCGGAAGCTTGGACTTTTAGGAGAACACGAAAGTTTTCGACCAAATTTCGTTTACCACCTCACACCTACCACCAACACAGGGGAAACACTGGTGAGTATAGCCCAAAAATACTTCCAGAAATGTGGGGAATGTAGTCTCTTGTGCTAGCTGAGTGCATTGTATACATATAACTATTAATTAAGTTTTAAAAATGATTTTGTCAAAAATGTACACATAAGGAATTGATTTGACAGCGGTGTGTTTGCATACCTCATTTTCACCGCCATGTAGACTGCAGTCAGGATGGAACTGGATTCTGAAGTGGCCACGGTGTGAGGGCGCTCAAACTCTATAAAGGCCCTATGAATTAGAAATAGTGTTTCAAGAGGTTACACGTAAATATATTGTAACGCAAATTACTAGTTATGCAGCGAAGATATGTAGCGATGTCACGTGATTGCGATAGCATAGTAACACAGCAAGCCCCCACAGCGGGCGTAGGTAAGTTGTATCTGTTGCGCATACTGCAATCTGCTGTTGTGCAGAGGTGCTAACAGAAAGTTAGACAGTTACACTGGCAGCTGCTTAGCGAGCCACTGTACAGTGTTATCACCAGTGAGTAGAGCCAAGGGGGTGTGGGTTACACTGCACAGCGTAATTACCTCAGGGTTGCAAACTCATTTACTGAGCCGCAACGCAGTATTGGAGATGTGCATGTAGCATGAGAAGACGCCACGCAAACATTTGGAATTTAGTATATCTCTTATTAGAACTTTTTGCCTTTTCACGACTAGATGTTCTGAACTAGATTCCTTTTGTCACTGTCCTCCTTTTATTGTCTTATGTCAACCCCACTAAAGGTATTCAGTTGCCAAATTCTCAATAAACAGCGATATATTTTCTCAAAACAAACGGCCTCTACAAATGGCTCGCACACTATACGCTCAGCCACTCGGGCGTTGGGGTGCCGGCAGAGAAAAACATCGCAATGTGTGTGTTCAGGAATTTTTTTCTTAAATGGATATTTTTTCAGACTTGTGTTTTCCCATTCGTATTAGTTACTGAAACAAAACCTGGTATAAAGGAATTAAGCCTGACCAGCTATCAGAGTTTATGTACGAAAACGTAAATGTTAAACGTAAAACGTAAAAATGGAAATGTTCAAGTACTTCATAGGATTGACCAACCTTGATTCCTCAAAGTAGAGATGCTTGCCTTTGCCGCACTGCTCAAAGAGGTTAGCGATGGCTGCCTTGTACAGGTAGGCATGGGCTGGCAGATTACTGACCTGTGATATTAACAGAAAGAAATTTGCGCGAATATTCACACGTATGCTTGGTAACTAACACAAATAGCGGCTGACACGTGATGATGAATGGCCCAGTAAGAACTCGGCTCTCACTCATGAATATGTATGAGGTATAGTAAAAACAAAATAATAAAGTCTGTCACGAGCCAATGTGGCCCATCAGGCCGGCATTTATCTCCGGTTTCAGTGGCACGAAACGACTGAGAATATTTCTACTCCACCTGGTTGGGATGCCAGTCCATCTCAGGTTACTCCCCAGCTAATGCCGGTACCCATCTATACTTCTAAGTGGAAAGCGGCAAGTAGGGGTTGAAGTGGCATGCCCAAGGACAAAATTATGACCAGCAGCTGGATTCAAACCCCTGACCCTCTGATCATGAGTCACGAACCGTAACCAACAGGCCACACTTCCCTCTGATGTATTAAAGTTTTACTGCTGAGGCTGTAGTTAGGCAAGAAGCATGCTACCCACCTCCTCCCTAGTGGGTGTCCCAGGATTCTTACCATGACAGTGGTGCAAGGATCTTTGCCAGATAGCTGCTTCAGAGCGTGGACCTCGTCCGGCTGTTCACAGCTGAAGTAGTTGGGGTAGAACGCTCCAGCCAGGACAATCTGGAACGACAAAACAGTTATTTTTTTCAAGAAACAAAGGTTTTAAAACACTTCTCTGCACAGCCTTCTATTTAGTCTGGGTCAAAGACTAAATAGATACCTGCTAAGCATAAAAAAGTTTGCTTAGCAAAAACAGGTTACCAGCCAAAATACCATGCAATGTCTATTGCATGTGACCAGTTCTCAGCTGACTTTTGCTTAGCACTAAAATCTGCTAAGCAGTAATTTCCGCTTCGCAGGTCTGTGAAATTGGCCTTCATAAGAACAAAAATATTAAGGGTTTTTTATTTTTATTTTTAGAATTACCTTGAGGATCAGCAGATCATCGGTGTGGTCACTCTGGTTCAACTTCTTGTGATTTCCCCTCGGCAACTGGATGTTGTACTTGGATAGTCGGTCGCTAAGCTCCTTCACCACTTCAGCAACCTGAGGTCAAAATTTGCAAAACTCACTTGCAATCAAGATTACATTCCCCCTGCTAATTTGTTTAGTTTCATCCAAGCATGCAATACAAAAAGTTAGTCGCTTTTGAATGAAAATTGACCCCCCCCCCAAAAAAAGTGCCCACGTTGAATTATTGAATTATCCCTTTACAAAATTTGAGTAACTTCCCGACCATAATTCTGTTTTCGCGGGGTAGGCTGCTTTCCCTCCCCACAATCATCGTTCTGGGTGACAATTTCACCAGACCTTCATTTATACATATTCAATATTTTGATGCGAGATGTACATTGCCCATAGTGTGCCTGATGAACAACGCAAAATGGTTATTAATGGGCGACTTTTTCTGAGCCTCATACATATCCCGCAGGGTTCACCCTCAACTTTTTGTCACTAGCCAGCCGGACTAGTGAAACAGACTCTCATCTAGTCCATGGGCATATTCACTAGTCTGCAATAGAATTTTACATTTTTGCACCAGAATATCATAAACAACAATGTTATAATTTTGACTCGCTAGGCTGACTACTTAGGGAATAGTTTGACTAGACCGCCGCTGTTTGTACTCCTATTTGGCGAGCGGACTACCGCTATGGTCGAACCCTGGTATCTCGTACGCGTACCATTTCTCATGGTCCTAAATAACCTGGAGGTTTTGTTAGGGTTGCCTTGCTGTGGTCAACTTGCTGCTATAATATCTAAAAAAGTGACCTTTGATTAGCTGACTATAGAAGTCCGTACTATGCATGCCACAATGTGGTAAACATAGCGAGAAGTCACTACATCTAAAATCTATACAATCAATGACCAAATCTCACCTCTCTGATTCGATTAATTTGGATCATGTGCTTCTCCCCCCACTTCCTTTCATTCTGTAAAAACAAATACAGAAAAAAGAATTGTTATTAAGGAACACATAAAATTATCAGCACTTTTTGAGATACTGACAAGACAATGGGGAACTTCTAAAGATGCATGTTGAATGACATATATTTCCTTACTTCTGCACAGCTTTAAAACAAAAAATAATAGAGTTCACTAAAATTAATATCGTCCAGCAATCAAGTGGCTTACTTTTTTATCACACACAAAAATGAAGACATTTAACCCATAAGTCCTATACCACCCCGAACTATCCTGCCTGTTACTTCCCTTCAACAAGCCAAGCAGGGTATCGTTTCAAAAATTAATCAAGGAGTGGATACAAGTGCTCTGCATTTCCAAATAATTTCGCATTAATTAGATCGTTCGTACTTGGATTGCATATTTGCATATTCTTAATGCACCTGAACTGGCTGCCAATCAGGATTTGCCTGCACCTGCACTTGACAAAGAGCTTATTACAATAATATGAAGAAAATCATATATGTATTGATATATTTCTGTGAGACAGCGAAATAATTATTTGATCGAAATAGCTATTTGACAGATGTAAAAGAAGAAATCCAAGTTTACATTTTTTAATGAGTCAGGTTGGCGTAGCGGTACTTTCCTCGCCTTCCACCGCTGTGACCCGGGTTCGAATCCCGCCCGGGCCAATATGTGGATTGGGTTTTCAGTCCCTACCTGATTCCGTGGGTTTTCCTCAGAATATTCTTCTGGGCTTTTCCTCCCACCTCTAAAACTGTAACTTCTTCTCATTGTCTTCTCTCCACATGTTTCTTCAGGCTTGTGAGCTACAGTGCCTAGGGCGCTTTTGAGGAATCCTTGGTTTCATTACCAGAAATGATTAATAATAATAATAATAATGAAGCTCTCAAATTATGAGGGTAAAGAAGAATTTTGACAAAAGTGTGGATTTTGACAAACAATAAAACCATCGCCATTTCTTAATTTAGGCTTTATTTTCAGCGCCGTTTTTCACAATATACCATAAAGATGATGTAGTTTAGGAATGTCTTGAAATAATATTAACATGTCTCCCAAATTCCAAGAAATCTGCATCTGAAAAAGTGTAAAAAATATAAAAACTTTGGACCACCCTGTATAGCATCAATCCTTTAAAATCCTCCATTTTGCAAAGAGGATTTTAGAGGATTTCAACAGGTTAAAGGTAGAATTGAGACTCACCATTCCAGCTCTGAGGAATCCTTTGGTTTGTCTGAGGTGGTCCCATTTGTTGTATGCGTTCAGGATAGCAAGGCAATCACTGAATGAGTTGGCTGTCCAGTCCAACTTAGCGCTGAAATAAACACATGAAAAACAGTTGTACTGCTGTGAACCATTGTATGATATGTTTAAGTTGTGTAATATACAAATACCTTGCATGGTGCTTGTTTCCCTGCAACATACGATCTGGCCAGTTTCAAGAGGAATGTTAATTCCTACCTTCAGTTTTTCTGAGTACCTACTACTCTTCCTTTTATTTCTCTTGTAGCCCTGTACCTTGAGTGGCTTTTAGCCTTGTTTAGGGTGAATACACATTGACATAAAATGAAGCAGTAGTCAAATCAGCCAACACCTTCAGACCCCTGATGACGAACAGAGCATACTGTTCGAAACATTGAGTTCAATCCAACAGGTTCTCATACATACTCACAAAAGAGATATTTCCACATGGTGTTACCGCAAACCTCTCACTTATTGATCTTTCCACCATGCAAACCTGCGAGTCTCATTTAACCTTCAGACCCATTTCACACAACTTGACCGAAATTAACAATGTTGTATTTGTTTTACTACAGCTCATGTATACTTAGCTCCATTATCAAAATTTGACAGAAATTCAGCGCATATAATTCGGCTGTTGAGAAGCAATAAGATGGAACCATCACAACTGAGCAAAATTGGCAACAATTTTGCATAAAGTCGTTTCCCCGTACTATTTTCAACTTTCATCTCAAAAACAAAATTCCTTTTCCAAATTGCAATTTTTCTAGCACTACACAAGTTATTCACTTTTGAATGCCACATCGACCCCAAAAGAATCCCTCCATGTTTAGTTATTGAATTATTTCTTTACAAATTCCAAGTATTGGCTGCCAGACAATAAATCCGTTCTCAAGGGGTAAGCTGGTTCCCGTCCATAATCAGTATCAATAATATACGGACTGGGAGCCAGTCTGCTCACAAAGTGGATCTGTTTGTGTACAAAACGAAAACCTATTCAGAGGGTTGCAGATGACTAAAAAAGGAAAAAGGTGTTTTTTCAGATTTGGAAAAAAAACATACAAATTGAAAATTTATTCATGAAAAAAAAAAATTTGTTGCCAGAGGTATCAGATTTTATTTGTGGACAGTTTATGAAGAATATCTCACCCATATGCCTTGAGTGGGTCCTTGTAAGGTCGGGCAAAGAAGCTCTTCAACGAAAGACCAGCACCTGCAGGTAATATTCAAACACAACTATGAGTTCAGTTTGACAATTAGAAAAAGGTGCAGGGTAAATCTGGCCCCGGTCCTTGATATGTATTAAAGCCAAGACTTTCAGTGCTAAGCCATAGTGAGACTTTTTTGTTCAATCGTCAGTATGCAAATATTCATACTGAAATTTGTTTTTTTCCTTTGATTTGTTCAATTGTGATATCAATTGGTTATTCAAGATGGAAACAGCAAAAACCTTTTCAACTAATGATTGTTTGTTCTTTTGATTTGTTCAATTGTGTTACTTCGTGCTGACGAATTTGTGCTGAAAATATTTATCTACAATGTTACCAGCATGTTACCAGCATGCAAAAAGTCACAAAAAATTAGGAAATTCAAAAATGTTTAAAGAGTTAAAAGTGTGTTTGTTTAGTGGAATAGATGGGCAGGCAAAACCAACTGATCAAAAGGAAAAGTTGCATGCCTGTGTTATTCATAATGCTAGAAATCTACAGGGTGAGTCACCAAAAAAAGGAAACCAAAATGTCACAACCATTTCTTTAATGAAGTTCTGCATGACGGCCAAATTAATAAGCTTTCTTTTAGGACAAGAATCATTCAAATCACTCTTGTACTTTTCAAGTTACGGAATTTTGAACACAAACACCGTTTTAAAGTTCTGTCCACGGATCATACAAGTGTTCTTTCAGCAAAACAAAATAATTCACATACATCCCTGCGTGAATTCTTTCAGACTGTTTCAGACTAATAAAACCAAACCAAAATGTCTTTAGAGCAACTCAAGTTGACCAAAATGGAATTTAGTTTCAGACAGACTAACTTTACCTACTAAATTTTCTTTGATTGGTCCCTGGAGTTGTTTTGAAAGACTGCAAACAAGTTTCGCAGTTACTGGCTCCTTACTTTTCAAATGTTGGACTTGATTCTTAGGAATGCCAGTCTTAAACGGACCTAATCGACCAACTTACCAATGATGAGGCACTCCTTGAGACAATCAAAGACGTGGCCTAGTAACAAGAGTTTACCAATGCGGATATCAACAGGAAGAGAGGACAGCACCCGACCAACAAACGTCAGATCTCCGTCGCTGTCACTGTGGGTGATTACGCCACCAGTTTTCGTTGACAATGCACCAACCTTGAAGATTATGGCATAAAAAAGGATTTCTAAATGTCTTTAAACATTTTTATTAAAGTGAAGAATCATGAAAAATAGACAACATCACTTCTGAACAGCAGGTAAATAATGTCGGTGGTCCTCCATTCTCTAGGAATAGCTAGTCGTCAAAACAGGGTGTAAACTTTTTAGTAAGATGAAAAATCTCTACATTGGTGTATTTGGGGACTCGGAGGAGTGAAACAAAATGGGCATTTTACAGCTATGTTGACTTGCTTCAAAGAAGTGTGTCATCTATTATCTGATGGTGTCCGATGTCATCTGGTTTGAACACCACCTCCAATAGACCTTTAGCATGCTGCCACCATTTCAGTCATGTTCCCTGTATCCAATAACAGCACTGAATGATGATGTTTTTTGTGCGAAAAGGAACCAGACTATTTTTCCTTCCAGCCTCGCTTTGGTTACGTTGATTTGAATGGGAAAAATCAAGATGGCCGTAACATGAAAATGGTCTATAGTCAATGATAGTCAGATGGTGTCCAACCCCCGATTGATTTTTCTATGACCGGCTGACTGGAAAATCATACGAAGCTACCTTCCATGACAGACACCACTGTAAACGAACAAGTAACAAACAATTGTAATGGAGGGACTGAAAACAAGTCTACCTGCCTCCCCCTATAATGTATGGATTATAGAATCGATGAAGACTTTGCGTAAACCAGCAAAATGCGAGTTTCCTTTGCACGGAATAATAAGCACAATAATGAGTATTTATACAGCGCTTTTAACCAGTTCGCGCCGGATGACGTGTATACACGCAACGGTTTTGCGGTATTCGGAACGGATGACGGATAAACAAGTAGGGAGCAAGGCCGGACATATCTGTCAGCAACCCGCTCGCAGCTTGCTGCCCGAGGGTGATGGCTTCAACCCGCCTGGCATTGAGGTCGAGTGAAAAGTAATCTCGTACCTTGATCCGTGTTTGTCAAAATATTCCCGGCTTGCAGTGGTTAACAAAGATCAAAGCCTGTCAAGTTATTATCACCCCTGCTCATTGGACTTAGAGAACATTCCTTCTACAATCTCAGCTTCGTAAATGTTACGGAACAGCTTAGTTTGTTCCTACCTCTTTGAGCAGCAGCACCGTCCTTGTGATGTTATCCAGGTTGGGTGGTTCCAGAGCTAGAGCCAAGATGGCTTTAGGTTCACCGAGGTCCAGCTGTTTCACTTGCAGGATCAGCTGCTCCAACGGACAACGCTGAAGAATTGGAAACAATAAGAGCCAATTTTAGCTTAATTTCATGTTCTCTCTATCCTTTTAAGAATGGACAAATTTGGCGAGTGGTTACTGATTTGAAACAGGACTGCAGTGTAACTGTGAGTGCTGTACATCTAAGGCAATTCTCTTTCAGTTTGTTTTTTTTATTTGGATTTTTTTGTAACTATAGAGTATCTATCGCATCTCACTAGCTATCTCAAGTCTGAAGTTAACCCTTCTGCTATTTAACCAGTCACAGGCAGTCAAAAATTCACTTCCACTTCCCCTGCTATACTTTTAACGAAGGCTAGTCACCAGCAGTCAGATCACACGTCAAGCAAGCACTGTGACAAGTCAAACTGGGTCAACAGACAAAGCAGGCAAGTTGTGGTCAGTGCTGTTTTATCACTCTCCTGGAGTCAAAGCATAGCTGTATCAAGTTACTTACACAGTCCCAGTCAGTCAATCCTGCTTTATGTAGGCTGAGAATTTTTAACTGTTGAAAACAGTCACCTGGTTGGTTTTGACTGAAAGGACCACTTGGCACAGAATGTAGGTTTGCATAGGAGGTTAAAACAAAGAAGTTGACTGGAGCAGGTTTGAACCTGCAAAACTCTGGATTTATACCGTACTAGTGCTCTATTATACGAATAGTCAGGCACCCTCAAGCGTTTCAGTCCTGTCGATTGGACATGAAAACCTTTCTGATAAATTGAATTCTTTTCAAAAAGGGAATCAACCTCCTACCCTCATTTCTGGGATTCCATAATCTTGGATGCAGTCCTCGTAGAACTCCCTGGGGACGAGTCTGTAGACCTTGCCTGACGACACACGCCCGGCTCGCCCTGCAAAATAAAAGGCAGCATGTTTCATCACCATGTATCAAACGGGAAACACTTTGTCACAACAGACTTGGATTGGATAACTTTTTCAGCCTTTTTGCCTTTAGCATTCCTAAATCCTCCAAAAGCCACCAGCGTGCAAAGAACCCAATAGCACAGTTTTTAAACTTTGAAGGGGCATCGAGCCCCATGTTAAGTTAAAGTAGTTCTAATTCCTACATCCTTCAAAACCCTCCAAAGCCACCTGGTGGATTTTGGAGGATCAAGAAGATTTAAGGTTAAATTGGAACCAGCATTATACGATACAAAACCCCATTCATTACAGCAGTACGATTTGAATTTCACAGAAATACTCTACAGAATCCTTTTAATGAATTTCAGTGTTATCACATTTAAACCCCGCCTGTGGTATGAACAGTCACAGACAGACAAAAAATCAATCCTGTTCCCCTGCCATGTTTTTATACACAGGCTAGTCACCAACAGTCGGATCATATTTCAAGAAAGCTCTGTGACTAGTCAAATTCCATCAACAGACAAAAGCAGGTCACTGGCATGTACAGCTGGTTTATCAATCACCTTCAGTCAAAGCATAGCTGTATCAAGTTAATACATAAATGGTCACAGCCAGTCAATCCTGCTTTTTGTAGGCCTGGAGCACTCAACTGTAAAAGACATTGATTGATACTTAATTGCTGGAATTGTTTGGTTGAAATCGCAAGCCAGGAAGGGAGGGTCAAGCTATAACCACCTGTAATACATTGTATTACATTGTATTTGTGATGAAAATGAGTCGTTTTTTCGGGAACTTTCGTTTGGAGATTCAGGCCAAAATAGGGCCACTTCATCACATCACTTCGTCAAATCTCTTGGTGTTCCGACTTCCATAATTTTTGAACTAAAGATGGTATCAGCATGCTGTTTTCACAGCAGTAATGCTGAGATTGTGCTCTTTTCAAATCTGTTAAAAAAAAATTGACCAGGGTCGACAAACCACTCATTTAGCTTGATCGCATCACATTTATCCAATGAAGATTCAATAAAACCATATAGTGCTCCGGCAGTTTTGGGCACTACAAGGAGTAATAGCTATGGCAGTTTTGGCGCTTCAGTGTCTAAGGGGTTAATAAGCCACTTTGGTCAGATCTGTTCATTTGAAGATCAACATTTGGAATCTTACCCTTTCTTTGGATGGCGTTTGCTTTGGACGCCCACTGCAGTTTGAGGCTCTGATAGTTTGTCTCCGGATCACACACCATACACTTAGTCAACATGAAGTCAATTACTGTTCAAGAACAAATAAAACCAAATGGGGGCACTCTTCAAAAATGAACATTATTATGCATACTGCAAATTATAAGCCCATTGTCACGGCCCATTGTAATGGTTTTTGAGCGGGTTTTCTTTTATGGGATTAATGTCAGGACTCACAAACCATTTATTGAAATTATTGCTGAAAAAACAAGTCAGGTGTGTTTACAAACACAAATGCCCCGCAACCGTGACTGTTTCCATGACATAACACCACTCTAACATCAACTTACATGTACCTTGGTCAAATGGAACGTTCATTGACAGCATTAGTGTCTTCTGTAGGTTTTATATGAATTAATCCCTAATCCCTATGATCTCAGAATAAATACAAGATTTCTATTGTTTTAGCCACTGTGACCTTGACCCTTGACCTTTTGACCCCCAATGCGATAGGCTTCTTAGGATTGCCAAGGACAATCCACAAACCAAATTTGAAATTCATATGTAAAGTATATCTCAAGTTATCACACTGACAAAATTTCTTTTGTTTTTGCCACTGTGACCTTGACCCTTGACCTTTTGGCCCCAAATGCAAAAGGCTTCTTAGGATTGCCAAGGACAATCCACAAACCAAATTTGAAGTTCATATGTAAAGTATTTCTCAAGTTATCACGCTGACAAAATTTCTATTGTTTCAGCCACTGTGACCTTGACCCTTGACCTTTCGGCCCCAATTGCAATAGGCTTCTTAGGATTACCAAGAAAAATCCACAAACCAAATTTGAAGTTCATATGTAAAGTACTTCTCAAGTTATCGCGCTGACAAAATTTCTTTTGTTTTAGTCACTGTGACCTTGACCCTTGACCTTTTGGCCCCAAATGCAAAAGGCTTCTTAGAATTGCCAAGAACAATCCACAAACCAAATTTGAAGTTCATATGTAAAGTATTTCTCAAGTTATCGCGCTGACAAAATTTCTATTGTTTCAGCCACTGTGACCTTGACCCTTGACCTTTCGGCCCCTAATGCAAAAGGCTTCTTAGGATTACCAAGGACAATCCACAAACCAAATTTGAAGTTCATATGTTAAGTATTTCTCAAGTTATCGCGCTGACAAGATTTGTCCGGACACACACACACACCCACCCACCCACACACCCACCCACACACCCACCCACGGAAGGACAAGGCGGAAACAGTATGCCCCTTCGGCTTCGCCGCGGGGCATAAAAAAAAACTGTCACAAAAAACGCCGAGGGGGGGGGGGGGGGGCAAAGTGCCCCCTGCTTCCCTCTGGATACACCACTAGTGTAAGGTTTTAGGACAGACCTTGTGTTGTTTATGCTCAACCGTGCATAAATTTAGGCCTAGATTATACTGTTCCAGGATGTCACTGGCTCTGCCTCAAATATTGACAGCGATTGCTGGAAGATGTTGCAGGATTTAGGCAATGGTTATTCCAAGGACCACATTCAAGAAATAACGAAGGATTCTGGAGGCTTCAGGCTGCATGCAATTTTTACATGGAGGTAGTTGGAGGATTTTGCAGAATCGAAGTTGTATACTAGCAAAAATGCCAGTTCAAGCAGTTCAAGCATTTTGACAAGAACGGAACGAGGTGCAGGACTACTTTTCAATGCCAGGCGGGTTGAAGCCATCACCCTCGGGCAGCACACTCATATTTCCGGCCTCGCTCCCTCCGTGTTTATGTGTGATCCATTCAGTATACCGCAAAACCTTTGTGTGTATACACGTCATCCGGCGCAAACTGGTTAAGGGCACCTTCTGCTTCGAATAAACCTTGTATGATGATGCCACTCTTTAGTGTATATGATGAAGTAGTTGTTGCTACAAAGCTTTCATTTTTAATTTAGTCATTTAAAGTGCTACCTTACTCTTCCATTTTCTTAAGGGAAGAAATTGTTAATCTTGGTCACTTTCTTTTTGACTCACACTGTACAGTCCTAATGAAGCGACATGTATGTTGGTATCTTAATATCAGTTATGTCAGTGAAGAAATATCAAGCAAAGATCAAAATCCTACCGTATTTGATGTCAGGCACCGTGATGGAACTCTCAGCAATGTTAGTCGCTAGGATAATCTTTCTAAATCCGTCTTGGGCCCTGGTGAACGCTCTGGCTTGCTCTTGGCCTGTGATGGTGGAGTGCAGTGGTAAGACCCACAGCCTAGGAGAAGTTCAATCAAGAACCATAGGTCAACAAGTGGTTTGATTCATGATGTAACTAATGCCTGCGCACTAATAGGGTCTGACTGTGTGACGTTTGACGTCTGGTTTCCCCCGAGATCAGCCAACGTTGCAGTAGGCATGCAATTGGTCAGCAACCACATCGTGCGTTATAAACTAAACGTTGGGCTAAGTGTCACATGATTAAACGCAATTTCTTCAGCAAATGGTCACTACCTGTGCCATGTATGTTACAGGCATGCAACTGGGAATTTAGAAAAAAACGAGGAAATTCCTAAAATTACACAAGACTTTGTACAGCATTTTTCAATTTGTAATGGCATTCATGAGAAGTAAAAAACGAGGAAATCAGCGGATCCAAGGAAAAGTTGCATGCCTGATGTTATCATAATCGTACAGACCCAACACTGGGTGTTGGCTCTGTGTTATTCTCACAGTTTTAGCCATCCATCACAGCTTTGAAGGCTGGCCTTCTACATACAATCTTTGCGTACTTCAATCGCGATGCTGACTTTCTGGTACAGGGATGTAGCCTGGTTCACATGGTTCAGTGGGAGATTCCTATAGCAACATGCGAAATAGTCACATGACGGTCAACACGTCATCACAATACTTCCTGGTACTGGCTCCCTGCTAGTGTATTGTGATGCACGCAGATATCGGTAACCAGCCTTGTGGCCAACCTCTGCAGGCTGGTATACACCAATCCAATTTTGAAATTATGGTGACGATTCTGGTCGCCATTACTAGGACGCTTCCATGCCTGATTGCCCATCACACGTGTGTTTTGTATAGCTTTGAACACGTCGCTAAAGGGGAGTGCATTGTGCAAATTTGCACTGTACAAAATTACAAAGTGAGCTTTGGAGTATCCCAGTAAGTGGGAAAGCCAGCCCAGTCATCACAAAAAGCGGGCAACTGGGATTGATCTATTGAATAGTTGACTGGAGTAGTCAAACTATGGCAAAATAGCACAGGTTCGAGTGAAGTTCGACGGAGCGATGGTTTATTAACCCTAACTCCCTAGCATGATTTACTAGGAACCATACCCATCCTGGCAAATTCCAACACCGCATGGGAAACTGTGCACACATATTTCTGACTTTGATTCTGGAGGTGTGCCAACCCAATGTAAAAGAATGTCACTTTAGGGGTACTGTACCCATCCTGACAGATTCCAACAAAACATGCCGTTAGGGTTTGATGGGTTGAGTTCTGTAAGGGTTAAAGTTCTTGCTCAAATCTGCTGTTGGATACAAGTACAGAACCAAAGTTGGGCAAATTTCTGAAGCTCCTTCAGTGTTCACTGCAAGGTAAAAATTTAGCAGGGTGGCAAGGCAGGTAATAAGTTAATGTGATTGTGGGATGGCACTGTTGTATGGCAAAGAGAAATTGTGCTTAGCCTATGGGGTGTCATACCTGTGGGTGGAGTGGACACTGATTAACATCTCATCCAGACGATTTATCTCAGCCAATCCTAAACAAAATCAAACGTAACAATGGATGATTAGTTTGAAGGTCCTTACTAAAGGAAAACAAAGTTCTGATTGTCAGAGTTTGGGATAAGTTACCTAAGCCTACAAGTAAACAAGTATTTTTTTGTTAGAATTTAATCATAAACTTCTTCATACAGATTTGATTCATCACACTGAAGATTTATGTTTGCTTCAATTGGTAAATCAGCTTCTCCACAATTCTTTACATTTTTCGTAAAGATTTTGTACAAAATAATGCGATGGAAAGGGTCGAGATTATCAACATCATAAAAAATGCTGTAAAGATTTTGTACAAAATAATGCAGATTGTTCTGTGCTCTTGGTTGAGACCAGTAGCGCAACACGAAGTGGGGCAGAATTTGCTCTTCCAAAAACCCTAGAACTGTCATGGAGAAACCAACACGACTTACCAGGTAGGAATACCAAGACAGTACCCCTGTGTTGAGCTCGCCCACTCTTCTCATGGTCTCTGGTGTAAAAACAAAACAAGTGATTCAAACATTTGTTCAGTTTCTGGTGTGAGAGCAAAACCCCACATAAGTATTCTAAGCACAGCCGACAGAATCTCCTTGTCGACTTAGTATAAAACTTGGGATACAGAGATGGAAGGTTGAAGTAAGGACCACCGCGCCAACCTGACTCTTCTCCCTTTTGAGACATTCCCGGTGGAGCGAGGTACCTACGATGTGAGTAGCACCCGTTACAGACTTGTGTTCCAGAATCACCCCAATTCATATTATTTTTAAAATTTGAATTAACGGTGGAGTTTATCATTTGTGCATTTTTTTCGTTTGAAGCAACAAAAGTGCTCACAATCTAAAGAAGGGTGCTTAACAACTGACCTGATGAAGTTTTAGCTCAGTGAATGCTGTATTTTCGAGAAAAGAATATTGTAGGATCTCGATTTCAATTCAAAAGTTGCCGATGTCATGTTTTGAATTGCGCCCAAATCAGTGTCAGGGACACGCTCTCATACAGCTGATTGCAGCTGTGCGATGTTACGCACCGAACTGACGAATAATAGGAACGATCGCAGAGTCTAGTCAATGGAAATACATAAAGTTAGTGTGTCTGAAAGCAAAATCTGATTGGGTCAACCGGAGTATTAAAACTCCTTATGCTATTTGGTTGAGCTGACTCTGAAACGCTTTTCTGACATGTTGATGGTCTTACCCTTGCTCGGCTACTTCCAACTCATCAAAGTGAAGGATCAAGGCTCTAGCAAGGTCATAGGCTTCATTGGTTATCTTTGGATCCCCATTGTCACTTTCAATGTACTGCAAAATAACAAACCGCAAGGTTTGGCACCAGTAGTATTAATTGGCAGTGCTCTAAATGTTTTGTATAACTTAGTTTATTTGAGCAAAACTTGATAGGAATAAACGTATAGGAACTAAAACAACCCAAAATAGACATACAGAGAGCTTTACAATGTAAATAAATTGTTGGAAGGGTGAACATGTATATACAAATTAGATTTAAGGTATTGTAAATATTACAAAAGACACTCTTTGTGGATATAGATTAGAGGCAAAGTTTAAAAGGCCAAATGGTTAAAAACAGAAACCCTATTTAACACTCCTTTTGTCCTGAAATATGTTGTTAGCTTAATTTTTTCAAGAAACGAAATTGACGACAAAAAGGGAAGTGGAACAGCCAGACATGCGAATACCTCCACAAATACACCCCCCCCCTCTCTATCTCTTTGGTTGTAAGATGACAAAATACCTGACTCTAGCATTAAGCAGTTGGCGTCGGATGACGTGTTAACATGGTCTGGCTGTTTCTATACACTGGCACGGCTGACTGGTTAAAATGTCTAGCGTGCCTCGACTCGCCTCCGGATGACGTCTAAACACACTAATCCCCTATTTGTTTTGTACACACACACAAAGTCCGAGAAGTCTGTGGAGGCGGACTGTGTGTTGTACTTGGACTTGGCCGCTGTGCACAGCCTGTTGTGGTACAATTTACGCTCCTTGGGCAAACCCCAGAGTGTTGAAAAATATGAGGCTTAAAGATATAGTCCATCATTTGTAATTTGTGCATTTTGTTCGTTTGAAGCAACAAAAGTGCTCAAAATCTAAAGAAGGGTACTGAACAACTAACCTGATGAAGTTTCAGCTCAGCTTCAGCTGTATTTTCCCGAGAAAAACAGCATTCTAGGATCTCAATTTCAAATCAAAAGTTGCTGAATCATGTTTTGAATTGGGCCTGAATTCAGCGTCCGAGACACGTTCTTGTGAGCCGATTGCAGCTACGCGATGTCGCGCACTGATCCGACGAATTATAGCAACCGCGTGCGCGTGTGCGTCGTGCCAATGCTTGCGCGCGCTTCGCCGAATAACAAAACGAACTACTAATTTAAATTTTCCTACAGTGCGTCTTAAGAAGCACCGTTGGAAAGGCCTTCTTTCGTTGATTACTTCAAAATGACAGCTTGCTAGAAAGAATAATTTCACAGGGAGTTTATTCCCCTTACTATCTTTCAACCAAGTATGTTTTTCAACAATAAATACGCCAGTTACTTTTCGGATAGTTGCAAATGATGGACTATAGCTTTAAATAAATCTTGCGAATCAGTATTTGTGGTGTTTGGCTGTATATCAAAAAGTGGCTGCTATATCTTGCCTTTTTCCAAAAACGAAATTTTCGGCAAAAATAATCCCGGCGTGAACTGGTTTTATAACGGAATAAAAAAGAACTCCACTTAGTCTTACCGGTCCAAGGTGTGCAATTTCCTCAACGTAATGCTCCTGCACGTCATAAACTATGCCCTCAATGTTCACGACTGGTGCGTCTTCCAACTTCCCTGCGATGGGCATGGCAAAGTAATGCGCAAACATCGAGGTGTCAAAGGTCGCCGACATAAGAACAATCTGTGACATGTAAATGGTGATGAAATTCATTATTGCAATTTTTATCAACAATCGAAGACCCATTTCTCATATTCTAGGGTGAAACTTTAACCCTAACGATCCCCAACCAGCCAAACTCCGACACCAGGGTTTGTTGGGATCTGTTAGGATGAGTACTGCACTAGTAAACTGACTGTGCTTTGGGTGGGATTAGGCATACCACAAACAAACAGAGTCCAACTGTTTATGTGCACAGTTTACCATATGGTGTTGGGATTTGCAAGGATGAGGAAGGTTCCTAGTAAATCACCCTAGGGAGTTAAGGTTTAATAGCTAATTATATCAAGCATTGAGTATAATTATGTTATACAACTGCTTTGACAAACATGAAAGTCCATTTTATCGTACAGCTAGTGGAGTAGTATACAAATAAAACCTATTTTGAGGGTTGATAGTCGATATTAGCTCCCCAAGGTATTGGAAGTTGACAGACTAGTTCTCAAGGAGAAGCCAAGGGAACTAGTTTGTCAACTTCCAATACAGAGGAGAGCTAACATCGACTATCCACCCAAACTAAACCATGTTTTATTTGTTTTACTATAACTCATACATATTCACACAAATTTCATGAAGTTACGCATAAGTTTTGTTGGCAAAATATTGTGCCACATCTGCTTTTTTCTTGATACCGTCTTCTCCCAACGTCTTCTAAACACAAACTTTCTATGATACATGGTCATCTTTGAAAGACTTTCAAGTAGTTTTTTGTTACCTTGACGTGTCTCGAGTTTGACCTTTGTAGCTTGCGGGTCACCAAGAGGGCAAAGTCCATGTTTTGATCTCTCTCATGAACCTGAATAGAGGACGATACATTAATTTTTAAGGATAACACTTCAAAAGCTTGCACAATTCGTTTGTGAGATTAAACTCAAGGCAGATAGATTCGGTCACGCTTCACTGATCTCCAGTATTGTTTTTTGTGAGCAGTGTTTCTCTGAAATTGACTTCCAGGAGGGTTAAATTGACACTAGGAGGGTTAAATAGGACAAAAAGTTGCCTGAACTTTTTGAGTGCAGATTTCATTGCTAGCCTTAATAATTAATAAGACAAATTAAAACAATGCGCTAAGACATTCAGGTCAATAACTTGGCTCATTGTCTCTCAGTGGCACCATCATGAGCAGACATGTCGCCAAATTGTATACAAAGAGTAAAGGTGCTGGTCACTGTGCAACTCAATATCCAAGGTGGGGTAACTAAAAACAAATACAAGTCATAAGAACACTATACCTCGTCCAGAATGATGTGCGTGTACTTGTTCATGGTGCGGCCATTGATGAGTTTCTGCAGCAGCACACCGGTGGTGACAAACGTCAGACGTGTGTCATCTGAAGTACAGCGATCCATGCCAACCTAAATGAAAGCAATTAATGCAACAATCACTGGTCATTGTCATTTTTAGGGAAAAATGGCTTGGTTAGGGCCATTTAAGAAACCATGCTTTTTCTCCAGCTCTGGCTTCAACTCCAGCACTGGAAGGAGTCAGGTTGGCATAGCAGTACTTCCCTCGCCTTCCACCGCTGCGACCAGGGTTCGAATCCCGCCTAGGCCAATATCTGGATTGGGTTTCAGTCCCTACCTGATTAGGTGGGTTTTCCCCAGACTATTCTTCTGGGCTTTTCCTCCCACCTCTAAAACTGTAATTTCTTCTCATTGTCTCCTCTCTACAGGTTTCTTCAGGCTTTGGAGCTACAGTGCCTAGGGCATTTGAGCAATGCTTGGTTTCTGTACCAAAAATTAATAATAATAAAGAATCGTTATGATGCCTTTAATGGTCAAACCAAATAGCAAACTCACAAATCTGTAATTCCTGAATGAAATATAAATATTTCTTTAGCCAGAGTCCCCCCTAAGCCTGCTGTTAGCCGTACACAAAGCAATGTCTGATAGTGCACAGTGTAATTGGCCATTATCTGAGACTGAACTCCAGTTACTTGTGCTAAACAATCTCAAACCTGGTATCCCACGAGACTTCCTAGCTGCCACCGTCGCTCCTCGCAGACGCGTCGTGCGATGCTCATAGCCGCGATACGGCGGGGCTGGGTCACAATGATGTTACAGTGTCTGTCTTGCGTGGCGTAGTAATCTAAGATGTACTGGGGGACCTGGGTCGTCTTGCCGCTCCCTGTAGGGCCCTGGATGATGGCCACTGGAGATGCCTCTATGGTCCTGACAACCTGTTTTACAGGAATATAGGATCATTTGCTTTTCATGCATTTCGTTCATTTCCAATAGTAACACCAGCCAAAATCCAAAATAAGAATGTTCAGAACCTAACCTGTTGAAGTTTCAGCTCAGTGGATATTACACTTTTTGAGAGATCACAGAAAAACCATGTGCAACATTTTTGATCACGAAACACGATTTCGTCAATAGAACTCTTCATTTATCCAAATATCAGTTAATTGACAGATCGTTGGAAATCATCTACAAATCTTGATTTCTTCTAAATGACAACGAGCCAGACGGAATATCATACCAGTGCTCTAACAAATTAATTATCTAATCTGTAATGTTTTCGACTATTAACCGAAAGCTGCTACGAAATTATTATCGTTAATAAAATATGAAACAGTATCAGTGCTCTTTCAACTAAGCTATCAAAAAGAACGACAAATCGATCACATGTCACACCTCGAGGAACTGTGACAAAAGGCATTCTGTGTCAGTTTCTTGCCACTTGTGATTTGACTTGTGATTTGACTTGTGATTTGACTTGTGCTTTGACTTGTGCTTTGACTTGTGCTTTGACTTGTGCTTTGACTTGTGCTTTGACTTGTGCTTTGACTTGTGCTTTGACTTGTGCTTTGACTTGTGCTTTGACTTGTGATTTGACTTGTGATTTGACTTGTGCTTTGACTTGTGCTTTGACTTGTGCTTTGACTTGTGATTTGACTTGTGATTTGACTTGTGATTTGACTTGTGATTTGACTTGCGATTTGACTTGCGACTTGACTTGTGATTTGACTTGTGATTGACATGTGATCTGATTTGTTGTCTGAATTGAGATTTGACTTCAGATGGACTTGTGATTGACTTATGATCTGACCTGTGACTGAGTGGTGATGGCCCTAAATACAACTCTGACACCCTGTCCTCCCCTCTTTGCAACTTTCCTCCACAGAACCAGACTCTTTCTTACCTGCTCATTGTACTCTGTGATAGGAAGGGCAGGATTGTACGTGTGATCAAAGTTGTAGTTGTGGTAGACCTTGGAAGCCAGCTCAGCTGGGACATCATTGGGCATGCTGAAGACATCACTCTCTGTCATGCTCTCCAAATCTAAACGGGACAATTGAAAAAATGGATCAGTTTTCCACCCGAAATGTTCCCAAATCCACCTGGATGAAATGGAGGATTTTGTAGGATTGATGTTCATCTGTAGGTCGTGAGTTTAATTTCCCGCTGGGCGTGATTTTGTTTTTCTTTCTTTCCTTCTTTTTTTTCTCTTAAAAAAGCTTATTTTTAGTCATTTGGATCTTTTTACTTTCGTTAATTTGTGGTTTGGATGAATTTTTTTCAAAAATAAAGTCTGAGAACCTGACTTGCAACTCAACGTGCTACGATATACCCCTACGTCCCCTTCTGTGGTATGCAAAAAAATCGCGGACAGGACACATAGTGCGCAGTGTGCAAGACTTATTTTAAACTGAATATGCAGAAAGCCACAAAGCAATTACGTCTTCGTCTGAGCATCAGGCATCATTGGTAATACGTTCAACGTCTCTCCCAGTAGACTCCTACAACTCTCCTCTTCTTACCGTTGAGGGGGTACTTGTAAATGGAGCTCATAGTTCCCTAGTTCCTACCAAAGTCTGAACTCACCAGACAGGCTAGAGTGTATGCTCCTAGCTGTGATGTCGCCCCCAGCTGCACCAGCCCCGTGCTCTTGCATCCGTTCCTCCTCCCACTGTTTCTGGTACTTTTGGACGTACTCCTGCTGGTGATATGCATCTTGCGGATTTCTACGCATCAAAGAATTTTAACACGAAGTGAACATTGTCAATCTGTAGGTGTAATCCTGACTTTTTGTCTACACATACTTTTTATGACTGAACATCTTGGTTATCAGCTGGAAGGCAGAGTCAGAATATTGCATTCTTTCTTTCCTGACCCTTGATTTGACCTGTGATTTGACCTGTGATTTGACTTGTGATTGAGCAATGGATTGAAGATATTGAAACGAATGCCAATGATGCAAATTTTGGAGGAGTTTTCGATGAGTTTCCCTCTACAAAATTTGGATACCAAATAACAAATCATGTTTCACTCACAATGTAGGCCTTGGGCTATGCCAACTCGCCTCAACATTTGGGCTTAGGCCTATACAGGGTGAGTAAAAAAAAAACACGAAACCCAAATGGCAGGATCAATTTCCAATGAAGTTTTGCCAAAACTTGCACTTACACTTAGTTTGGTGGGCAATTATCAGGCTTATGCCTTTACGACCCCATATCCTTTTTCCTTCCAAAACTTATCCAGCTGCGTCTTGAACTAATTTGTGGTCTTAGGCTTCTATGACGCTTGCTGGGAGACTATTCCACTCTGTGATCACTCTGACTGAGAAGAAATATTTTCTACAGTTCAGCCCCTTTTTCAGAGCTGTCTTATACATCTTGTAACTGTATCCTCTGGCTCTGTCAGTGTGTGGATTGGTTAAGAAGAGCTTGGACTTCTCTATACCTTCCAATCCTTTCATGATCTTGAAGGTCTCTATCAGGTCCCCTCTTGTTGTGTGGCTCTTCATTGTACTTTCTCTTACATGGCGATATCTTTCTTAAGGTATGGACACCAGGCTTGGACAGAATATTCCAGATGGAGACGGATGTAAGTTTGTAGAGCATTGTGAAGCATTTCTTGTCATAGTGCTTGAAGGTGCGCCAATGTCCGTTCAAAATTTTGTCTAGACTCCCCCCCCCCCCCCAAAAAAAAAGCCATACAAAAAAAATTGCACTAGCAAAATGTAAGAATCTGACGTACGTGCGAACGGTCTCCCCCTATATAAATAGTCATGAGAAGGGTGCATTTGTACACTTTTAGTTAAAGTGTGCCCGATAGTAGGATTTTATCAGCGCTCCCCATTAAAAATATGGCATGAGCCCCCCTCCCCCTCTCCCCTATTGATTTTTGGAGGCCTAAGTGTCCGGAGAAAATAACCTGTCTACGTTCCAGCACGCCTGCCTGAAAAAAATTCTGGATCCACCCTGCTAGCCCCCCCCCCAAAAAAAATATTTGCTCTAGAACCGCGCCCGAGGTGTGCTTTATGATTCTCAGTTTAGACATGGCCTTGCTTGCTGCTGGTGCACATTGTCTACTAGTCTTCCCACCTTCAGTGATTATAACTCCCAGATCCTTTTCCTCTACGTCATGTGGGATTACCTCTCCGTAGCCCCACTAGTGTGGCCGTCGGTATGCTGCGCTGAACCTCTGGCCACACACCGTGGTACCGCGCGCTACTGAGGACGAAGTTTTCATAAAACTGCGGTCCGTTTCTTACATTCTCAGTTTCTTACTTTCTTATGGTTGTATTCTATGATGTCTCACCTATCACTTCTGGGATGCTTAGGTCTAATGATGTTCCATTTTCCGAGATATTCTTCAATCTTTCTGGAGCCCATATGCGCTCGTGAAACGTCTGGTGATGGCAGCCATCATTTTCCAACAAAAAAACATCAGATTTCACCTTCAAAACGGCCTCCAAATTACTAGATATGCCACCTGATGTACAAGTAGACATCGATAATTAAGATGGTTGTATTGAAGTTTACTTACGATCCGGAAAAAAAGTGAAATTTTCCGTTCATCGATTATGATAATGAGTCACGTTTGTAAACACATACATGTGCATTTCGAACTGTAAAAGGGAATCGGGAACCAGCTTGAACTGGTACCCGCCATAAAAGCTGCGCTAGTTCCCGACTCCCTATTATCGTTTGAAATGCACATGTGTATTTACAAACGTGATCCAGTCTACTCATTATCATAATCGATGCATCGCGCGCGCTCGGTAACGGAATCGCACTCGGGATACGGGGCCATCGAATGTACGCTGGGCATGTAGAAGAAATCGCGTCGTTCAAACATTAAACACGATCGGAAATTTAACATGTTCAAGATCGCAAGGGGAGCTCTGCGATATGAACGGAAAATTTCACTTTTTTTCCGGATCGTAAGTAAACTTCAATACAACCATCTTAATTATCGATGTCTACTTGTACCTCAGGTGGCATATCTAGTAATTTGGAGGCCGTTTTGAAGGTGAAATCTGATGTTTTTTGTTGGAAAATGTTGGTTTTTGGGACAGTGACAGGATGATGTTGTCCAGGTCGCGGTATTAGCTTGGACCCCACTATCGCCAGACCATGTCCAAATGTTAAAAAAAGGCGATAAGTTGGGTCCAAGTTACTCGGACTAACCGACGGCCACACTAGTGGGGCTAACCTCTCCGCCAAGATTGTATTCAGTTTCCTGATTGGTGTTACCCATGTCACGCATGTGCAGAAGCGGAGTAGCCATGTCTCGGACCACTTTTGGAGGAGTCAATTCACATGCATCCCAATTTTGCTGAACAGTGAAAGAAAACTTCTGTGATCTGTGGTTGTGGACAGAACTTTAAAACGGTGTTTGTGTTCGAAATTCCGTAACTTGAAAAGTGTGTGAGTGATTTGAATGATTCTTGTACGAAAAGAAAGCTTAGGTAACTGGGCTTTTACATCCTGGATTTTGAAAGTGCTAGTATAGTCGGACTCCCTATTATCGCGGCATCCCTATTATCGCGGCATGGGAAATTTCTCTTTTTACAGTGTCAAAACTCCTTCAAGTGGCGATTTTTATCCAGTTCACCAGTCATCAAGGATTTTCTACCAAGTTGTATAAAAAGGACGATTAAAAAATGTTGTGTCTTTCGGGACATTTAACGATTTTAATAAATATTAACGTTTCCAAAACTTGCAAAATTTTCCCTCACCATGTCTGCTAAAAGGTACCGTTTATATTTTAACATAAATCTTTAATTGCGCTCTGTCCATAAAAGTTCCATTGTCTGGTTCCCATTCTTCAGCTGCAAATGTAAAATGAAGTCGAACGACCATATTTGCAGCGCGAAATCGTAACAACTTTTACGGGATCAAAATAAGCACCGCGCGTTAGCGAAAATAAAACGGCACACCGTGTAAAGTGAATGGCGCCGTCAATCGCCGATCAGTAGAATTGCCTCAGGGATTTGTGTTCCCCTTTCGGGGGAAGGGCAGGGTCTTAAGAAATCATCCTGCAGACATTTTGTCTTTAATCAACTTGAACGTTACAGGGAAAATATCAGACTTTATTCAGGGAGTGTTTTGGTCAAACATAAACTATGAACAAAAAAGTTGGGATCATTATAAAAACCACTTCCCGCATACCGCGATAATAGGGAGTCCACCTCCGTTCGCACACGCCGCGCATGTCTATTTTCACAGGCATCGTACACGGAAAAAAACACACTACCCGTTAGATTTTTTATATTAATTTAAAAAGGAAAAGTTATACAACACATAAGACAGGACAATTCTGGAAGGTAAGTGGGCAATCTCTATTCCGAACGAGAAACGTGATAAGTACCCCGATAATACGGCGTTCCATCCTACTTCTAGAACTATGAGGCTCCACGTAGTGGAGCCTCATAGGTTCAGAACCCCGCAAAATTGTTGTCAGCACAAAACACTAATTCAGTACAAAAACGTCCATCCCAACCAAGCCGTTTCCCACAGAACCGCTGCACAGTTTGCCCCTAAACTCCGTACAATACCTCATGACATACTCACGCTATGTGCACCCAACAAACATCGGTGGATTCTGTCGTTTTTTTTGCAAAAATGATGGAAAATATGCCCTTTCCGCACTGAGCCAACCTGACACTTGAAATTTGCACGCGCGCAGAATGATCGCAGTCATTTTCGGTCCGATCGCTCGGAGCGCGCCGCGGGGGGTATGGTGTAGGAGCGGAACGATAGTATGCGCATGCGTACAAGTGCGAGTACGTACCCCCCGCGGCGCGCTCTGAGCTAGCTAGCTATCGAACCCGAATATGACTGCGATCATTTTGCACGCGTGCAAATTTCAAGTGTCAGGTTGGCTCAGTGCGGAAAAGGCATATTTTCCATCATTTTGCCGAAAAAACCGACAGAATCCACCGATGTTTGTTGGGTGCACATAACGTGAGAATGTCATGAGGCATTGTACGGAGTTTAGGGGCAAACTGTGCAGCGGTACTGTGGGGAACGGCTTGGTTGGGATGGACGTTTTTGTACTTAATTAGTGTTTTGTGCCGACAACAATTTTGCGGGGTTCTGAACCTATGAGGCTCCACTACGTGGAGCCTCATAGTTCTAGGAGTAGTTCCATCCTACTAGTAGTACAGGCAATACGTCGTTCAACATTTGGTCATGCCATTATTTTTTTTTTGGGGGGGGGGGTGTTGTTTTTAGAAAGAAAATAAAGCGACAAAAATAGTCTCCATTCCTCAACCACACTCCATCCCCTGTCCTCTTTCCCCGGCCCACCATTCTTACCGTCGGTAGCTAGGCACTTGTTTAGCATCGGCTTCGTCCGCCAATTCCCGCGGTTGATTTATGCCCCAGCCTCCTGTGCTGCTCTTGGCAAGCGTGTCTGGCATACGGGGATTTTTCACCCCGAGTTTAAAAAAGTCATTGATGTGGTCAAAAGTCAGGTCGGTTGTCATCCGGCTCATGTTGGCATCAGTAAGTGGTCCTCAACAGTTACCGAAGACAAAAGTAACATGTCATGTTGAAAACGAGATGGATTTTAAACAAAAATTTCATCACACCGGGTTCGCAACATAAGCTGTGAGATTTAAACGGGTACTCTATCAATCAAACACACAAAATGCTTCAATGACGTCTAGGATCTAGGAATCGAACTGGCCCGAATTTAGCGCCCTCTTGCGTCAGTTGTTCATAAATAGTAAAAAAAAAAAAAAGGGTAGAACGATTTGGATAAAGACTACGCTTACAAAAATACGCGCTTGAAAAATTTTTTTACTGAGTGAAAGGTGGCAAAAATAATATATCAACGCAATGTTGTCAGTGAAGACCGCGCCATGATGCCTTTTCTGTACTCTCAAGGCTGGGTGGAACATAAGATTTGAAAAAACTCAGAAACAATGGAGTATATGTCTATTTTATTGGAGCTAAGCCTTTCCCCCATAACTTCAAACAAATTCATATTATCGGCACTGTTTTCTATGCAAATTCCTTTGACAGTCGTGATCAGTACTTGTTGCCTTTTTGGATTCATGCGACGCAAAATAAAACAGATTTGATCCATGTGGGCTAATGGTGCAGTCTCAAAGAAGCAGCCAATCGGCGTCCAGGACAATGCTAGCGAGGATATGTTTACACATAAACACAATATACATGTACTTTGTCCAGGCCTCATGTTAAAATATATAATTAATTTTATTACCTGTACAAATGTATTTATAAAAACATAAAGAAATACAAACACAAGAAACATACGAAACATCATATAGATCATTCTAGACGTCGACCAAAAGTGGCAATGAAATTGGCTACTCCCTTAACAACAATTAAAATGTTGTTAATCTTATAAAAATGGGAGGAAAATCTTATGAGAAGTTGCAGCACAACCCAGGCCCTTATTTTAGAGAAAAATATTCCCCATACTAAACATCTACAGGCCTATAGCTTAGATAAACAATTATTCACATTCACTTTGTATCTGGGTATTTATGATACAATTATTAAAACAGTCATGAATATCAAAATACCACAATTAATATAGAAAGATATACATCAGTTAAATAAGATGATCACAGTATGTGGGGTCCAATGGTTACGGTGTTCGACTCGTGTGCCGTGGTACATGGGTTCGAATCCTGAGCGTGGGAACATGGTGCTTGTGCTCTTGAGCAAGGCACTTTACCATTACTACTTCGTCCTTCGGATGGGACGTATATTTAGCCGTAGGTCCCGTTTGTTGTGTAATGCACGTTAAATATCCCAGTATACATTTGTCGCTAAGAGAAGGGTTTGCCCTGGTGTTTCTGACAGTGGTAGCAATATGCGCCGCAGCATAAAGGTGTTACATAATGGATCTCATTATGTTCATATACTTCGGTTACCTGTCTTTGGTTGCATTTGTTTCCCCAGCGCTTTGTATCCTTTGGAAAAAGCGCTATTTAGATGCGCTATATAGAGGCGCTATATAAAAGGCGCTATATAATAATTATAATTATTATTATTATTGTTAGGCCATATATTCAAATTCAATTATATTTTCAACACCGAAAATATCTACAAATAATTATGCATATTTTTTTTGTCTACAACCAAAGCGAATAATTTCCTCTATAGTTCCATTAATTCCAAAGGGATGTTTTCAAGTCGGTATTATTTTGGTGTTGACGTAATTTCGGCAAAACCAAATTTGTGAATTTACTTCTTTCCGGCGCAAGCGCAGCCTATTCGTTTTTAAAATTCACTGGAACTCCGATCGGGGTTTTAGCACTGCTTGGATGCTTATTGCAACTTTGATTGCAATTGCACGACTTGAAAAATCAGACGAACAATGCAGTCTGAGGAAACCTATGCGCAAAAGCCAAAGTGGGCTCTCGTCCCCACCTGGCTCCTATAGGAAAGCGCACATGTAAACAAAGCATGACGTCATTGTGTCCTAGGTCTATTAGTCTTGGTCCAAGCCTGGCCTTCTTTTCTATTATACAGCCGGTTCGTGACGAGTGAGGTCGCTATCAGTATCAACAAAATAAATCAACTCCACTCTTGGCAATATTGGTAGCGCTACCCAGGAAACTGTGAGCATACCTCACGCGCTTGCAAGCTTGTGCGCTTGAGGTATGCTCGGAGTTTCCTGGGCAGCCCTGCCAATATTGCCAAGACCAGATTTGATTCATCTTGTTATGGAGACCCTTACCAACCGCGTTTGTCACGGGACTGGCTGCCAAAAAAATAGGGGAATAAAAATTCAGTATTGGCCAACACTCTGGGTAGAATTTTAACATCTTAAAATGCACACGTATGTATAAAGACTTCTTTTAGAATATTTCAATGTTTAACATTATGCATAAGAAATTAATGGTCCTTTTAGAATATTTCAATGTCTAACATATGTTTAAACGGTCCTTTTAAAATGTTTTGTGTTGTAAATTGTAAACCATGCAATTCAGTCCTGGGACTGCGAGAATGGTAGCAACAATAAAAAAAAAAAAAACCTTCAATTCAATTCAATTCAAGACTAATGCGGACAGCGACCAAGACGTGTTCAAAGGGGAAAAATATTACTCTTTTAATAATTTTTTTTATATTGACCCAAAACAAATCAAAATAATGCAGTAGGGGGACTTTCTATTGTATTTACGACAGGTCTGCGTATAAAATTATAACAAAAGAAAGGCTTAAAAGACGGTGGTTTATTTGTATTTCATCAACTTCAGGCTGATTCCTCTGTGGCGCAACAAGGGTTACCTGTTTCAGAAATAGTCCAAAAACCAGTGATAGGCTGGTACCCAAATGCATAGCTGGCCCAGCTTCTTGGAATAAGACTTCGATGCACTAAGCTGCATGCGGCTGCCTAGCTATGCATTTGGGTACCAGCCTATCACTGTTTTTGGACTATTCTATTTTGGAATGTTCTATTTCTGAAACAGCTAACCCTTGTTGCGCCACACCTCTATCCATGCCCAAATCCCACACAATCCACCCCTCCATGCCCCCTCCCCCTTCCCCAGCCCCGTGCACAGCTGAATAGGCCGAGTCCAATAGACGAACCCGGGCACGTGACCACTGTACACTCACAGGGCCCCCTTCAATGGAGAAACCATTGTGCCCGCTATTGTACAAATGCAACTGCTTCATGATGGAGTATCTAAACAATAGCAAGTACAATGCTTTCGCCATTGAAGGGGGCCTTCGTGATTGTGAGAGCGTGCCCGGATTGCTACTCCTTGCTGGCATAGATCAAGGTTGTCCTCTCGAAAAACTGGGCGCCCAAAGTCTGGTGCCAGGCTCTGGACGATATCTGCCGCTGGTTGGGGCGCTGGAAAAGTGCGGATCACTTCGATCCTTAAGGGGGAAAACACATCAAAACAAAGCAGATTAGAGATAAACAGATACGAGCACCCAATCTTGGTAAGACTTGTGATTTTGATGTTGCCATTAAGTGGTAAAGACTTGTCTTTGACAGAGCTCTCAACTGTGGTTTTTTGATAATTTCTCCTAATAACTCCGTCACTCCGTCAGCCTTTTTTGTCAGCGTATCATGATGTATGTTAGCCTAATTGGTAAACACACCCAAATAAGCTGCATCAACTGGATTTGTTTTAATGAGAAGAAAATGGTGGAACTATAAGAAAAAATCGAAACGGAATTTTGTTGCACTGGACTTACGGGGGAACGATCTTGCTTGAAACAGCAAGGGCAAAAGAAACCCATAGGCTTCCTGCGAAGAAAACAAACGCAAAAAATTAAATCAAAATAAAGGGAATTCACTACTTAAAAAAGGGATATACCTTCGTCGTCATATTATTATTTTTTCCCCATTTATTTAATTGAATTATTTTACAAGTGAACTTATGCCATTGCAAATCTTCAAACGTAATTTATAGTCGTGAATTAACAAAAACGGAAATGCGTTTATAAATACAAAGTTAGCAGAAACAAAAGTAAATTAAAAGAATCAGGATATTTCCATTCTTCTATTACTTTAGCTTCATATAGAAAGTACATTTCATAATATACACAGTCCAAATGATTCCCATTTAAAATCAACAACCCGAAAGTCCAGTCTAGCCTCAATAAAGCCCTGCCCACCCCCCCCCCCCGAAAAAGTCTTCCCTGAAATTGTAAAATAAGGTGTCCTCACCATTTCAAGGTTCTGGCAACGAGCAAAGCTATGAATACGATGATAAAGATCAGCATGACTATCGACGCAATTATCACCGAAATCATAAGTGTCACTTCGTCTGTAGGAATGACTGGATCTATAGGCCAAATGTGGGAAATACAAAACTTAAAACGTTATGCACAGGAGCGAAGAGAAAGGGGGGGGGATGAGATGTGGTGGAAATTGGACACAATAGGAAGGCGTTACATGGTATTTGGAGTAGGTAATCATTTGAAAAGTTTAAATTTATCCATGCACTCTGAGTAGAGCCTGAAAGTAAGGCCAAAAAAAAAACACGTTTAACGTCCTGCCTTTTTGAAAAAAAAAGGAAGCGGGAGGCCCTTTTTTCCCTCCAAATAGGCCGCCCGACCGGGCTATTTTTCCAGATGGCCGCCAGGTTTTTTTTTTTTTTAATGGCTGCCATTGGACTCAGAAAATGACATACCAGCTTTAAATGGGCTGTATGCGACAGACAAAGAGGCCAAAATGATGCAATTATCATTTTTTTGGGGGGGGGGGGGGGGTTAAAATCAAAGAAAAAAGGAGGCAGCCTCCAAAAAGGAAGTGGGCGGGGACGCTAAAAGGTGGGTTTTTTTATTTGGCCTAAATATCTTCACAAGTATACCAAATTTCATTCAAATCTGTCTTGGCACGGCCAAGATCGTAGCGTGGGGAAGGGGGGTTGGATCCGCCCACTTTTATCCCGTCCTCACAAAAAAATGGCCTACGTAATGGCGTTGGAAAAAAATTGGAAACATTGGTTTTTGGATTCAGTAGATCATAACGTTTTCAAAAATGTATAGTTTTGCTAATACCCCAAAACCCTATACGAAAATACATTGTGAACCTGACAAAAAAAAAGTCAAGCGGCGAACTTCCGGAACTCTCGCGCGACCCGCGGTGTTTTTATTTGCAGCACACATCGTCAATGGATCATGATAATTCAGCTAAGTCGATAGTTATTCATAAAAAAACCAATGACGTCACACCATTGCTGTCACTCAGTCATGCATGATATTAAAGCACTTTCAAAGAACGGCTTTCGTCAAGCTGCCACAGTGGCCTAGTGGATAGGGGAGTGAACTATGGATCGCAAGATCTGTGGTTCGAACCCGTGTCCATTTTCTTCAGAATTGTTTGTTGGTTGGGATAGGTTTAATTGAAGGGAAAACACTACGAAAACCTAGGTGTCTTCCATCCATCCAGAGTAATAAATATTCATATATTAAGGGTGATGTGATTGGTTAAAAGGCGATGTATGCTGCAAAAAAAATACGCCGCGCGGCCCGCCTATGGATTTTACACGAGGTTGTCCATTCTCTTGCTGTAATGTTGGACACAATGATTTCAACCGTAACCACTACCGCAAGAAACATTCATGTTGGACTTTTATCTTAGTATTCCTTAAAAAAAATTGATGACAAATCACTTGGGGAGATGGTTAAAAACGAATTTTATTTACGACCTTTCACATCCGGCATTTTCGTTCCCGTGTCTCCTTTTTCGTTCACTTTTGTTTTCATATCGCACATTTGCGTGAGAACGAAAATGTATAACGACAAGAAGATTTACAGCCGATGGGTTCTAGATTTTGTCGGCCTTGCTTGAATACAGTCCGTATCAGCGGTCACTTTAGATTTTTTTTTCGTAGATGCGAATGAGTCCTTTAAGTTTATTCACAAAAAGTGTATATCCTAAAAGACATCTTGGTCTCCTGATTAACGTTCAGTTTTCACTCACTGAGCGCCACAAAATTATTTGTCATCTTTTTACGAGTACACCGAGTTTCACTAGTCCGCATGTATCCTGGATTTTCGGAAGTGAGAGGTCAGTTTCTGGCACGATATTTCTCTTTCACGTCAGGCGATTTATCAGTTTCCATTATTTGATATGCTTGCATAAATTTTACAAAGGCATTTTTTCGAGGGTGATTTTCTTGAAAAAAAAAGTGTACCAAAAAAAATTGACATTCTAGAATTTTTGCACGTTAATTTGCCCAATAGTAAACTTGCATGCTCTATTGTGTCCTCCTATAATTGTGTCTAACATTATCGCAAGATGGCCAATCAACATCACAGCTCACGCGAACGAGAATGCGAAATTTGCCGGAGTTTAAGTGTTTTCAACTGTCACGAATTCAAAGCACGAATACTGGCCGTGAAATTAAAGACAAGAATTTTAAAACCTACTGCCTTCACCTGGTGGTAACGGCTTCACGGTGAACGATTTGACGACGCAATTGGGACCAACACACGGTGTTGTGGTCGACTTAGGTCTGATACTTCCAGTGGTAGTATGAGGTGGTTGTGTGGCAGGCTGTGTGACAGACTGGGTCGGGGCTGTGACAGGCTGGGCCTGCGTTGCGACAGGCTGGGCTTTCGTTGTGACAGGCTGAGATTGCGTTGCGACAGGCTGTGCCTTGGTTGCGACAGGCTGGGCTTGCGTTGTGATAAGCTGTGCCTGCGTTGCGACGGGCTGGGCCTGCGTTGCGACAGGCTGAGCCTGCGTTGCGACAGGCTGATCTTGCGTCGTGGCAGCAGGCTGGGACTGCGTTATGATTGTCTGTGTTGTGACAGGCTGTGTCATTGCTGTAGCTGCTTCAGGAACACGTGTATAACTTGTTTGAGATGACATAATGTTGGGTTCAGCTGACGGTGTAGGCACAGCAGCTGTTGTCGTTGGTTCAACTGTCGTGGTAGGCTCGTCCGTAGTCGTTGGCTGAACTGTCGTACTGCAAAATGCTGTAAGTATCGACCCAGGACAGAACTCCTCCAGCAGGGCGTCCAGCAGGGCGATAATGGTACAGTTGACGGTCGGGAATTTTGGCGGCGAAGTAACGTTGGAGCACATGTAATCATATGTGTCATTGTTGCAGTAAACTTTTCCACATTGCCCACCTTTACATCCTAGAGCGATGGCGTCATTACAATTCGATGCCCCACAAATCTGCACATTAAGCGACACATACAGACAAATATATGTTCCAGTAAACTTGTCGAAGTGCGACAATGCGGCACTTCACAGACGTGTGCTTTTACAGTTGGGATAGACCTTCAAATACTGTAATTTATTACGCAGTGGACAACATTTGCAATAAAAATCACAATTAAATGGTCAAAGTAATATCCAAGTTAACCGCCGACAGGTTTATCCGCGCAACATAGACTCCCCACTGCGTGCACTGTTTGATTCTGAATAACTTACCCCTATAATCTCCATGGATGCAACTGAAAAGTGTTTAGCAATTTTCACAAACTACCAACTTCATTGCCAAAAGATTCCGTGGAAGATGTATGTAAAAAAAATAATAACATGCTGCGATTAATACCCGATAAAATAACACACTGTGGATAAACGTATCCGCAATTTATCCCAGATATTAATGAGATGACACCTTATATACTTGGTTGTAAGTAAATAATAGTATCCAGCAGTGCTGTAGTCGAGTACATTTTTCTTGAGTTCGAGTACGAGACTACTTTGTCATGACTACGAGTAGGTGTCCAAGCCAATTTGTTTTTCCCATGAGTACGAGTACGAGTACGAGTAGGACCTACAAGTAGGAGTATACTTTCCACAAGTAGGACCTATAGGAGCAAATGTCAATGTGCCACGTGTTTTGAAGGGTTTTTTGGCTGTAAAACTATAAGCATGAAAGAAATGCAGAAGCCTCACAAACAGTAGAAAATGAGTTTTTTTCCCGCAGGTTGCTCTTAATAAAATGGAATTCTTGCAGGAGAACATTTGCAAAAGTACGACTACGAGTACAAGCATGTACACACTTGCTATGAACTACTATGGTCAGTGGGTTCGTGGAGGCCCATATGCATTTTTGGGTACAATGTTTGAAACTCGCAGGGTGACTCATGGATACCTCAACAAATTCAAAACCACTGGATGCCATTTTATTTCTTACCCTCTCTAGGGCGGAACCATGACATTTAAAGTGGGGGGCTTAGCGCGAAACAAAAAAGGTTGAGATAATTTCATTTTCGCTAATTCACATTTAGACAGATGAGCCAAGTACTACATCATGAGAGAGACAATCCAGAATTATGTCTCTTTTGGAGGTGGGGCTACATTTTAAAAAAAAAGTGGGGTCTTTGGCGTATGCCCTAAATGAAAAATCTAAGGGGGTAGGCAGAAATGTTTACATCATTTAGTGTCAAATCAAAACTTATTCTTCCCTTTGAGTGTTTCACAAAGTTTTTCTTGAAAGAGAACGTCTGGCATGTGAATAAAAGACCAACAATCTAACCAAACATTTCGAATTTGTTTAAGTCATTATATTCACAATCATTGAAAGCTCGTTAATGTTCCTATGAATTTATATTTTGGGATGTCATTGATTTTAGCTAAACCTAAAAAATTCCAAAATTGGGGGGGGGGGGAGTGATTTGACATAAAAAGACAAATTGTATGTCTTTTTTGTCTGAAATCGGCCTAATTAAAGTCGATATATTACTTTACATCTGTAAAACGTATATCAAATTGTTCATGTTCATTGACAACCGACATTGATACAAAATTGATTATTACATCAAATGTACTCATTTTGCTATTTTTCCCATTCTCTTCAATATTTCTGTAAATATCTTTTAATCCACCCTGAAGTATCGCATTTATGTGCTGGATTTGCTTCACAGAAAAGACCTCCCCAGCTCTGTTTTCTAATTTTAGTGAAATAAAATGGATTACAAGGACAAAAATGTACTTTTTTTTATTATTCCCCATTTTTATCAAAAACTGTACTTCCTCTTGCATAAAATACAATTAGGAATTTTGCTCTCTAATTCACCGCTTTGACTGCTAAAGCCAAATTCAGAAAGAATTTGACAGGAATTTGTATTAATGGCGTAGTATCTTTGTAATTTCTTTCCCCAAAACAAAACAAAAAGTTGAAATGTGTATGACCCCGCCCCAAAAAGAGAAACTTTGTCCAAAATAATTGTGCGTCAACATTCAATTCTAAATTCAAATTTCTCATCTGCTGCCAAAATGTGGGCTTATTTCGCAAACTTTTCCAAATGGACGCCCCCGCCCACAAAGAGGTCAAGGGAAAATTCATTACGGACACACTCTCGCAAAATGTGGTCCGGGTGCTTTCTATACAAAAACCTCGTTGGCTTGGGGTTTTCTATGTAAACTTTATCAGTCAGCCGATCACGCTCAATTGACTTCGGCCAAACCGCAGTCCCATCATAAGAAATAAGTTAACAATGTTATCCGGACCATTTTTTTCCGAGAGTGTGTCTGTAATGGTTGATGGGCTTTTGCAAATGGGAAAGACACTTTGGAAAAATCCAATCAGTTTGAATATGCTTCATGAATTTCTGAATAAACGAGCACATTTTTAACAGTATTTAATTACTATTATTTTTTTGGTGTGGTGGTGGTGGTGGTGGGGGGGGGGGGGGGGGGGGGTGGGGGGGAGGGCTGGCTGGGGGGGGGGGGGGGGTGCCAGACAGAAGATATATCAGAATGGCGCAATAAGACCGAAAGCGGGCGCAATAATTTTGATTAGGGTTTCAAAAATTTCTACGCGTCCGAGTCGTTAATTTGCATGAAAAGTGCCCCCACAATTTTTTGTAAAAAACGAGACCGTTTAGTTTAAAAATCGGTGGAATCGTGCGAATATAGCCGAGGATCATCTCCCTAGCTTTTGGGCTATTATCTAAGAGCAGATTTGATAAAATTAGGGTCCAAAAATGGGTCCTATTTGCAGGAGAAAATGTAGGGATGCCACTGGTAACTTTGGCAGTATGCAGGCTCAGCATTACCGGCAGGCTTCAAGCCATTACGGACACACTCTCGCAAAATGTGGTCCGGGTGCTTTCTATACAAAAACCTCGTTGGCTTGGGGTTTTTTCTATGTAAACTTTATCAGTCAGCTGATCACGCTCAATTGACTTCGGCCAAACCGCAGTCCCATCATAAGAAATAAGTTAACAATGTTATCCGGACCATTTTTTCCGAGAGTGTGTCTGTAATGTTGGTATAGGCCCTAGTCAATTGTAGGCCTACGTGTTTATTTTGGCTTAAAAAATGCCCCGAAATCACTCTTCTGGTGGTAGAAAACCATGTGATCAAGTGGTGTTTGGTTATACATAGCCGGAGATTTAGAATCTTAAATGAATTGAAGACCCCGTTTTTCTTGATAACTCTATATACGAACGCATTAATACAGTCAAACCAACGCCTGAATTTATTTGCTTGGAACTTACCATTTGACTGCATGTGGCAAGCAAAACGATCACAAAAATATTCCCAAAGTTCACATTGAACTTGTGCATTCCGGCCATATCCGTCAGAGCATGCCGATCACCAATACCCACCGTAGCAAACGATTTGTATCCCAGCCTAGTGTGAAAAAGGCTGTTGTTTCAAAACATATTTATCGAAGTTAGAAGTTTCGATCGACGCCATGAAAACTGCGTGTGTGGGTGCACATCAGTCGTTTAAGCCCCCAGTTGACTTACATGTATATTCATTGTGAGTCATAGTTCCGTGCTTCCTGAATGGGCGTTTCTCAAAGGGGTTACAATGTCATTGCTATGGAATATAATGACTCCCTTTTATTCCCCAAAATAAATCCAATGTGCAAAAAGGCCGGGGAAAACCCAGCCAGGGTGAATTGAATTGTGTCTGTACACCCACCACACCTACACAATGGACTACCTTTACTTTCGGTAAACAGGATATACACATAGAGAAATACCCATACACGACGTTGTACATGTATTGCACTATACCATGCCTTTGGCTGCTTTACGATTCGAATACAATCGTACCCGTGTGACCTTTCGGTCGATTTATCGTCTTCTGAAGTAAAATGGAACGCATGGATGCAGGTGTGCATCCTCCCACTTTATTTTTTAAAGTTCCCGCTCCTTAAGTTAGGTTTGTGTCAGAGTCCGTTGACCTATTAAATATCTATCTGTGGGACCTTGATTGTTGGTTTTCATGGAGAAGAGATCAAATATATGTCTAGCCAAGTTGAAATGAAATTTCAAGTATAATATTTACTTGATAACAGTTATTGCCTTTGACACAAAATCAGCTGAGATCAAGACACAAGACTTAGTACCTGACTGACTTACTTGCTGACTGACTGACTCCCCCCCCCCCCCGACTGTCACTTGTGACCTAGACTGGTTACCTCAGCCAACGTAGCCTCTTCCCGAAGGAAACCAAATCTCTCGCCCTGGGTATGGACTCCACGCTCCACCCCTGTAGAGGACATCATACAGGCCACCGAACCAACCCTGCGTCATCTCACGTCCACTGCGAACGAGGTCCGTGTGCAGATCCACCATGTCCTCAAGAACCACAAGCCGCCCAAGCAGAACATCTCCAAGGACGAACGCACCGCACTCCTCATCCTCCGCCGTGATCAGTCCATCCACATCCTGACAGCAGACAAGGGAAACGCCACGGTTGTGATGGGACAGGGTCGACTATGACCGTAAGGTAAAGCAGATTCTTGATTCTGGTTCAGACCGCCCCCTCCACAAGAGCCCCACCCCTCTATCGAGAGATGAGTTTTGGGTAAACTCCTTGTTCTCCACCGGTCCGATGCTATCCTCACTTAACTGCATTGTACAGGCAACTCAGGCCCTCAAGCTCCATCTGTCCTAGATTCTGTGATCAACCCAAGATAGATACATAAACTGGACACCCCCCTTAGTCTCAGTATCTAAGATTCTCCAGCCCTTGTGGGCAACACCATGTCAAGAACTCGGACCAGGTCGCCAAATTCATTGAAACCCTCACCCTCCAACCTAGTGACACTTTGGTCAGCTTCGATATTGTGTCCCTTTTCACTGACGTCCCCATATGTGAAGCATGCCATATAGCCAAGGAAAGATTAGCACATGACCCCTCACTGTGCGAGCGCACAACCCTTACCCCGGACCAGATTCACAATCTTCTGCTCACCTGCGTCTCTTCATCCTGCTTCCAGTGGAGAACCAATTCTTCGAACATTCCTCCATGGGATCTCCTTTATCCCCGGTTTAGCGGACTTGTTCATGGGAGAATTTGAACCGACAGCACTCCTCACAGCCGACCTGAAACTGAGTGTGTGGCTCCGGGGTATGTTGATGACATCTTCATCGTGTGCCCGCACATCACTGAAGACCTTCGACTGTTGCTGAAAGCAGTGTGACCACTCCATATTTTTTTTCAAGATCAGCATCCGACATTTTAAAGATTTTCCAAGCCCATGCAAATCATTACACAACCTTGTGTAAACGTAATGTAAGCCTAAAGAAAGACAAATCTGCTTTATTTTTTCTGGTAGGATCACCGATTTTACAGAATTCTTCTAGAAATCTGCTAAAATGTTCATTCTGCTTAATTTTTTTAGCTAGATTCCTGTTCAAGTCCAAAAACTTCTGTCAGATCTAGCCGAAAATCGGCTAAAACGGTCAACGGAGAAAATAAATTTAAAAAAATCACACAACCGTTAAAAGATCCGTCGTATTGGAATATTTTTTTAAATTCTACAAAAATTCAACATGAATTTGAATTTGTGTGCACTGTTGGTAAATTTTTCAAGATTTTCGGTTTTTCAGATTCCCCCCCCCAAAAAAATGATGGGTCTCAATTTTTCAAGATATTTTCCAGCAGTGGCAACACTGGCTGAAACACCTCAACGAGCTTCACAGCAACATCCAGTTCACAATGGATCAGGAACAAAATGGCCACATCTCGTTCCTGGACGTTGAGGTCTCAGACAACCAGGGCCAAGTTCGCGCAGGGACTATAGTTGACCAATGGTTAACTAACGTTTGCCCGAACTCTGTCTAGTCGACGATGGTTGACTACGCTAGTCGACTATTTGGAACCAGCCTACTGGGGTTGGTTGCTTCGCTGGTAACCAATAGCCGCGCGCATTCATAACGCTATCAGAGAGCCAGGATCCAGAAGTTTTGCGATGACATTTTGACCAGCGTTTGACTAGGGACGTTCGCACGTTGCTACCAGTGCGCAGGCGTAAGGTACGTCACAAATCAACCACTATAGTCGACTAATGGTCCTTGCCCGAACTTGGCCCTAATGGCACCCTCAGTCGCTGTGTGTACCGCACCCCCCCCCCCCCCCCCCCAACAAGGACCGCAACCTCCACAGCCGATCCTTTCACCACCCCAAGATCAAGTCGTCCGTCAACCGCACCCTGGTACGGAGAGCATTCAACATCTGCGACCTAGAACATCTGCAACGAGAACTCACTCTGTCAAGATAGCTCTGCAACGCAACGTATACAAGACCAACCGAATCCAGACCCAAGGACCAAGACCAGCTCCTGACCAAAGGGTCTCCTTTACCCAAGGTCAGATGGTACAAATCGTCAGTCATCCTCCCGTATATATAGGCAGTTCATCACACCTCATCCAGCGAATCCTGAACAACAATGATATCAATGTCTTCCATACTGCATCCAACAAGATCCGCGACATTCTTTAGTCCCACAAAGACAGGCAGTGCCCCGAGACCAAACTTGGCGTTTACATACTGCAGGATTCCCTGCGAATGTGGGAAAGTGTATCGGGGAAACTGGGCGTGATCTCAACACAAGACTGAAGGAGCACAAAGCACATGGCCGACGAGGGGACCACAAGAAGTCCTCCATCATCAAGCATTCCCAATGAGCAAAGACCACACCATCAACTGGCAGCAAGTACAACTCATCACCAGCATCCAAAAGTGGCACACCCGGCGAGTCCGGGACGCCATGGAAATCTACAAGCACAACACAGTTCCACAAGACACCGGGTACCACATCAGTTATATATGGCGACCACTCCTTCATCGTAGGTACAATGGGTCTTCTATACCCACGTTCCCCATAGTTACCCCTCATTAGTTTTGGCCTATGGGTCCCCTATACCACACAACTCTCTAAGAGATATATTTCATTCACATGGCGTTACCGCAAACCTCACATTCATTGATCATGTCCACCATGCAAACCCTTAAGTCTTATTTAACTTATAAGCCATTCTGAATCAATTGAATAGTATTCTGTGCACTCTGGGACCGGCTTTACTAGGCTTGCCTTGTCTTGTTTTACCGCAGTATTTTGCTTCCTGCATGTCAAACTGGGGTGCTGTGGTCCAGTGGTTACGGTGTTCGACTCGTGTGCCGTGGTACGAGGGTTCGAATCCTGACGGGGAACATGGTGCTTGTGCGCTTGGGCAAGACACTTTACTACGATTGCCTCTCTCCACCCAGGTGTATGGGTACCTGGTGGAAAGAAATTCCTTCAATGGGTAGGAGCGCCTTAATGGCAGCCGTGCTAAAGCCAGGGTATTGATAATAATAGCGCCAGGAGCGTCACTTTGTGACGGACATGAGCGCTATACAAGACGCCATTATTATTATTATTATTAAACTACAAGACCCACAGTTAGGCTGATGTAATATGCAGTCACTTGATTTTGAACAATTCTCTCAGATGCATAATAGCATCAACTGCCTAGGATCAGGAATGCAGGTTGCAGACGGTATACATTAATATAATGCAGACACTGCATTATTATGAATACTGTATTGAAATTGAGAATCATCATAAAACGCGCCTACCTAATAATCGGTTTAGGCACGTTGACTCGAGATTTCTGATTTCGTAACTTCCTGCACAAATGAAGGGGATTATTGCCTCGCATACCCTATGTCAAAAGATAAATGGGGAAAATACACAAAAGGATATTTATTCAAATCCATGCAGAGAGTTCAACACAGTAAGCGCAGCAGACCATGTCACGTGCCCGCGAGCTATGAACTTTGGCTTGCACTGTACCACACAACCACGAACACAGGGTGCAAATCAGTAATTGCCATAGACCCCAATGATAAACAGTCTGAGGAGCAGACATTCACGTGTGCACAGCCACACTACCAACGTCTGATACAATTGTATCAGAGCATGCCAACTTTATGTTACCCCGCGTGTCAGCCAATCGGAGTCGACTTTAGGAATTGTGACGTCATTTCGATCGAAAATGTGGACTAAGCTGTTGATAGAACCATTTGGCTTCAATGTGTTTGTTTTTTTAGTAATACAACAACAGGGTTACGGAAGACCAGATAGAAGGCGCCCGCTGATTGGTCAGAATTTTGATCAAGACGCAGTCTTGTTTTGCATAATAATCGTCGAATCAAAATCAGGACAAATACCCACAGACATACATCAAACGGCTTGTTTTATCATATATACATTTCACTTTCGATTCGATTGTCCGGGATTAACATATGACATTAATGGGGGAAATTGTAACCCGAAGGGAATCACCTAAGTAGTCCTGAGGTCCGTCGCCAATTTGAAAAAAATAATCCCTCCATTGAAAAATAAAGCAATTTTAGGGCATAATTTTATTTAAATTTCACAGAAATACAGCCACAGTGCCTCCATCCTTCGGTGAACTAATCCTCAACTGCATGGACCACAAAACTCCCTAATATACTTTCTTTGTCCCGCACAGGAAATTTGGGACCTGGCCTGCAACCCTCATAGTCAAGATCATTTTTGCTCGTACCCACCATCCTATTTAAGTAAAGTGATGGCGACATCTTATTTCTTTGAGGTCTCATTGGATGAAGTTTGTTTTCCCGGTGACCCACGAAGTCAGCACTTCCGTGTGCGCATGCTATACGTGTGCAAGGAATGTACATCTACAGGGTGGATAAAAAAAAACCCGAAACCGAGATATTATTGCTAATGGGAACATAAGTAGGGCACATGTGAATCAAAGGGAGATATCTTCCGTTAGGGTTGAATCTCCTCTTAAAATGACACCCTGGTCATGTCTTTACTTTCACGGTTGACTGAGCAGTGATCAATTTTATGAAAGGGTTTATTTAGAGATATGGGCCACTTTTCAATTGTGGTTTTTGTTAATTGTCACAGAGTGAATGGCTATGGTAGCCAATCAAGGCAGGTGGGGGGGGGGGGGAAGAGAGATTTCACCATGAAAAGTGGCGCAAGTCTCTAAATAGCCCCTTTCATAAAATTGGTCACTGCTCAGTCAACCGTGAATGTAAGGACATGATCAGGGTGTCATTTCCCTTTGATTCACATGTGTCGTACTTCTGTTCCAATTAGCAATAATATCTCGGGTTTTTTGTTTGTTTTTTGTTTTTGTTTTTGTTTTTGGGTTTTTTTTATCCGCCCTGCATAGGCCTCGTGGGAAACATCATGGCAAGCCACCCACAATGCTTTGTAAGGCCTTCATTTCCTCCATAAAAAGACATTAGCGGGCACCAGTCTAATATTTTATTATACATGTATTAGGGCGGTGGGGGCGAGCGAAAAAAAATTATATAGCGGCCCTCCTGAGACACATTGTATGTATGCATGAGGTCAGAATATTGACACGTTATTGGATGCCGAAAGGGCAACACTGCTTTTTATTCCTCGTCTGCTCGCTTCAGTGCACAATTTCTATACGTTGGTGTGCTAGATTTTGAACACAAACAGAGCAGCATACGGGAATTTTATGTGCAACTGGATGGAACGCCAACACAGTTCATGCTTTTGTCACATCTCTCCTTGACAACTGCATTACTGGCCTCCCCGACAAAATATGTAAATAAACTTCAACTGATCCAAAAACTCTGCTGCCTGCCTGGTCTCTCTCTCTCCAAGAAATGTAAACGCATCACACCGATCCTCGTAGACCTTCATTGGTTTTAGCCATTGAACAGCAAATCCAATACAAAATTCCCCTGTTTGCCTTACATAGTAACTCCATAATATACTCATTAATAACATGTTTATTCATTTACAATCTCCCTTTACTAGCTTACTTTACTTTACACAATATGTAATAATAATAATCAGTTCTGTCTAAATAACCCTAAATAATATGGAACCATCTGATCACGGCATAGATGATCACGGCAATGTTACATGCCTGTTGTTTTTCTGCCCAAAATGCTTATTGCACATGCGCAGACCTTAGTTAGATGTATTGCTCCACTGATCAGAGGTATAATATTATAGTCATGACTAGTCGACTAGTCGCGACTTTTCATCGCAACTAGTCGCGACTATTGAAATTCAGTTTCACCATAGTCGCCCACGCCATTATAATATTGGATATACGATATAATATGTACACTATGTTACATATTAAGTACTCATTATTATAGTGAATGTTTATAAGTGTAATGGTAAAAATAATTTCATGCATGTGTCTGGTGGAAAGTCCCATTCCACGAGGCGAAGCCGACTGGATTGAACATTGCATTCTGTCACCGAATGAAATTATTCTTTTCATCGCACGACTGTGAAACATTCATTATTTGTTTGATGCAACACCTGAATGAATTGTCGTCATCTGCTTGATCCACGCATCCTCGACCGTCCGTGCAATGGAACTTCTATTTACCGTGAAAAAGAACTTCTTGTCTATTTTTTTCTGTCTTCCCTTTTGAAACAAAAGACATTTGAAAACTGCTAACTTATCCCGATAAACCTTCAAAGTTATATAGACGCCCTAGTAACGCTTTGTTTTAAGCACATTCTTTCTTGAATGACATGAAAACAAAATAAAGCAATGGGCATTGCATTTCAGGAAAATGTTGCTAGGATCAAAACATTGGGCTGTCGGTCTAATTATTTTGTAAAATATAATCGAATACAGTTGAAAATATTGTTAAAATCTACACCGAACCATACATTTTTTTGTGTAATTTAGAATTAGCTATATTGGAATGTTATTATTTCTCCATAATCTGTTTGAATCCCTTTGACCAATTGTCACCAATGGATTATAATAAATTGTTTGTGATATTCCAGAATTGGCAGCACTCCCGTTAAAACTCGGTGACATACCAGAGGGAAAATCACTCGATGGTGTTGTAGAATTCTGAAAAAAAGAAGATGAAATTAAAAGATTTAAGGTCTCGACCCACAGTTTCCTTACTCTAATCTATACGGCCTTTTTCTGCGCCCCGTATAGTTTGTGAGATGCGATTTCTTTATCATCAATTAAAGCTACAGTCCATCATTTGTAATTTGTGCATTTTGTTCGTTTGAAGCAACAAAAGAGTTCAAAATCTAATGAAGGATACTGAGCAACTAACCTGATGAAGTTTCAGCTAAGCTTCAGCTGTACATTCCGAGAAAAACAGCATTCTAAGATCTCAATTTCAAATCAAAAGTTGCTGAATCATGTTTTGAATTGTTTTGAATTGCAACTATACGCAACGTCGCGCACTGATCCGACGAATTATAACAACCGCGCGCGCGTGTGCGTCGTTCGAATACTTGTGCGCGCTTCGCTGAATAACAAAACGAACTACTAATTTAAATTTTCCTACGGTGCTTCTTAAGAATCACCGATGGAAATGCCTTCTTTCGTTGATTACTTCAAAATGACAGCTTCCCAGAAAGAATAATTTCACAGGGAGTTTAGTCCCCTTACTATCTTTCAACCAAGTTAGTTTTTCAACAATAATTACGCCAGTTACTTTTCGGATGGCTGCAAAATGATGGACTCTACCTTTAAAGTACCGTAAAAAATGATTTAATGAACAGTTTATTAGTGTTCTTTGTATATTTATCCGTATTTCAAACAAACCAGCTGCAGCCTTTGATTTTCCAAGCTGCACTTTTATAATCCAGCCCATTTAAGATAAAAAAGTACGAGTACTGTCCACAAAATGTTTTCGCGAGCTAAACATTTTTTTTCACAAACTTATCGGGTAGTGCTCGAGCCAACAACTACCGGGTTGCAGAAGTTTAACTTAGGCGAAGTAAAAGAAAACAAACAGGTTTCTCGTCCCCGCCCGCTTCCTTTTTGGAGGCCGCCTGGATTTTTTTTATTATTTTTTATTTTTGAAAAATGCAGTAAAAAAAACACCGAAAAAGTCCACAAATTCATCGGGAAATAAATTGTAGACCAATACAAGTCTAAATGACACTGTAAATATGTTCAGTTCTCTTGTCCAACTTATCTTTCATTTTAAAAGTGTCTTTGAACAGTGGAAACACCAACGGTTGCAGGAAATTTTTAAATGGCGGCCATCTTGAAACAAATAAAAAATAAAAAGCCCCGCTTCCTCCTTTTTTCAAAAACCCAAACGAGAAACATGCTTTTTTTAAAAATTTATTTGGCCTTATAGTAATAGCTATTAAATAATTATGTAAATACCTGATTGAGTGGGCTGTTTCCAGGCAAAGCATTCGGTCTGTAAGAAAATTAGCACAAAACATTGATTAACGCAAGTCACAGGGCACAGTTTCAATTTTAAACTAATCGGAAGTGGTTAATGGTACCGTGACGTGAAACAGTGCACTCATAAACTGCATGGATTGTAGTTTACCTAAAAACACAAGGACCTCTTTAAAAATCGTCATTTAGAATCTTTCAAGAAAAACCACACTGAAACAAATGTACTTGATCGATAATTAAACAAATTAAAAATCGATGAAAGAATAAAGATTGTCATCATTACTGTCATAAGGGATCCAAATGCCTTGTAAGACAATTAATTAATTCTTAGATACTTGTATTCAACACGAATTGTATAAGGACAATTTCCAATGTGCACGATGCAACTTGTCGTTTTCTGTCTGTGTTTGGTGTCAGTGCCAAACTATCTATTACTTTAAACAAACAAAAACAACGGCCCGCAATTTTAATTCAACAAAAGAGCAAATTTTTTGGGACAAACAAAACGCCGTTTCGATAAACTTGAAACTGAATTTAAGTAGTCCAGAATTGCGTTACTCATGGTGTCATTGTTGGTACTCTCTTATTTCCAAACTCTGAAAATTCACCATCGGATTGAAACTATAGCGAGAAGACATTTGGAGTCAAATTCATAAAGTAGCTCGATTTTTCACTGAGTTTTCACTGGGACAGTTCCAAGCTATTTCAGTTTATAAAATTAGAGTGATTTTCACTTGGAAATAAAATGTAGTGATAATGAGTATGCAAGAGAGTGACACAACGGCTTCTAAGCAAATGATCTAAATTAATCGAAACTAAATTTAGGTGTGTTAGAATCCCACCTTAGATTGAGGAGTAATATGCCCATCACGATGAAAGCGGCAAGTAATGAAATGGGAATTACCACACCCATTGTGGCAGTTGCATTCCCCGCGTTGCCCAGATCTGTAGGATTGAAAATAATGTAAACTTATTTGCAGTTGTATGTTTTAGTATGTGTGATGACGTGACAATGTACGCGACATGATAATTTGGGGCTGTTTCATCATGGAGCTATATAGCTCCATGGTTTCATGCAGCCTGTAAGCACACACACACATTTACGTTACATAGTGTGGATATTACTTTGTCTTAGTGTAATTAACAAATACCAGAGGGAAAAAAAAACACTTTCATTTTACTCGCGCTATGAACACTTGTTCAATCCAAATTTGTTATCATGATTTTCTTGAGTGTTCCTCTTCATTTTGCGACGATAAACCTAACCCCGAAATTGCCTTTAAACCTGTTTTCCAGATAAGGCAAAAAAAAAAAACCTCCAGTTTCTGGTATGCGCGCGCGTCGCCGTAGCCATGCGCGTCGGCAAAATGAAAAAGTTTTTTTTTAATAAAAGATGATGTCTCAAAACCGCCAAACTCACTGGTTTGACTGGAATCCTGCTGCTGCACAATTTTAACGTGTTTTTAGATGGGGTTATGATCGAGAATAAGTTTTATGTGGCCTCTCCGGACTCCCATACATTTGCACTAAGTTTAGTCGGGCACCATTTGCAGTCATCAACCGACATTTGAAGAAAAAAAGACAGGTAAAAAAATAAATAAAAACGCGTCACCGCACCACTTTTTGGGCAAGCTCCATACCAGAAACCGGAGACTTTTTTTTTTGGCCTAAGAGTAACCTTGTGTGGACGTGGGCAAGTCCACACAACGTCGCTGCTACCTGGTTTATGTGGACCTCTTTTATTTAGAGGTCCTCACAGTGAATGAAATGCTTGTACATTAAACTTACGAGCAAAGGAAAAGAAACGAAAATACAACGGAATAGTAAAGCCGGACCCAGAGCGCACTTAACTCTGACTCTATTCAAATCATTCAGAAATGACCGTTACAAAAAAAATCGTACAGAGTACAAAATGGACCAGGTTGAGTCCATTCATTGGCATTATGAGGTTATCCTATACGATTGCACTGCCCTGCTCACAAGTGATAGTCAGTCAGGATGTCCCTCAGCAAAAAAATAGTTGTTGTTTTTTACTGGTTTTAAACTAATTTGATCTGAGTACGTGGATATATTGTACAATCTGTCTCTCTTTTTTTGCAGATCAAGCGGGCACTCGTTTTTGATGGTCCTAGAGGGCCACTCTTTTTTGTCCTCGCCGATCTTTGCAATATCTCACTGACTTACTGACTTATTACTGTCACTTGTGACTTAGACTGGTTGTAGACTGGTGAAGACAGCTGGGCAGTGCTATCGAATAGGATTACCTGGCAACGCCAATGAATTGGCTAAATCTGTCCCAGTGTGTAGACCAGATGCATGGAAAGACTTCCCGGAAATAGCCCTTCTGTCTGAATCAATTGAATATAATTTTTGCGCGCTCTGGTGCCGCGTTTACTAGGCTCGCCTTGTCTTGTTAACATTGGGAAAGTCACAAACATGGGCGTCGCGAGGGGGGGGGGCGAGGGGGCTTTCCCCCATGGAAAACAAACAGACAAACAAACAAACAAACAAAAGAAGAAGAAAAAAGGAAAAAGAGGTGCGAAGCCACATTGCTATTAATTTGATGGGGGGGGGGGGTAGAGCAAATGCTCCCCTGCTAATGCTCGGAAAAATGATAAATTGAGAATATAATGAAAAAGTTAAGGAATTTTGGGGGAAAATTTGCTTTGGCCCCCCCCCCGGAAAAAAATCCTGGCGACGCCCATGGTCACAAATAAGCACATGGCCTACCTGTTGTTGAGGCTTCAGTTGTGGGTGTAGGTGGCCTATTTATGTTAAGGGTTACGTCAGGTATTTGGCTTGTTGTGGGTTCAATTGTTGGCTGCTGTTCAGTCGCAGTCGTGGGTTTGGTTGTAGGTTCAGCTGTTGTAGTTTTCTGAGCTGTTGTGGTCGACATTTCTGTAGTTGTCGGTTCCGATGTTGTTGCAGGCCTCATTGTAGTCGCCTTAATTGTTGAAGTGGTTTGTGCTCTGGTGGGCTGTTGTGTTATGGGTTTGCCAGTTGTGGTGTACTTGGTTGTTCCATCTGCAGTTGTGGTAAGCTGTACTGTTGAAATGGGCGCTGATGTTGCGACGTTCACAGCTGATGTTGTGGATGGCTGCGCTGTTATGGTAGGGTTTTCTGTTGTGGGCGGGGCGGTTGTAGTGGACTGGATGGTAGTGGGAGGGACTGTGGTGGGCGAAGTAGTAGTTGTGGGAGGGTCTGTTGTGGTTAGCGGTGCTGTAGTTGTGGGAGGGTCTGTTGTGGTTAGCGGTGCTGTAGTTGTGGGAGGGGCTGTAGTTGTGGGCGGGGCTGTAGTTATGGGAGGGACCGTTGTGGTAATCTGGGTTGTGGGCGGGGACGTTGTGATGGGCATGGTTGTTATGGTTGGCTCACACAAATCTCTGAATAATACTACTTTCGAGACCGTCGGTGTAAATGTTGGTGGATCGGTGATATTACAAACGTCCGAGCTGCTACTAAGCGTATCATTATCACATGAAACTATGCCACAGGAGCCATCTTGAGTGAACCCAGACACGACATCATCACACCTAATCTGCATTAAAATCAAGTAAAAAGCAATTTTCAAGAACGTTGTTTAGCATTACTATAGCTATAGAATAATATTTGCAGCTAAGTTGTTACCACACGGGTCGTTCTATATCAAATATAGTATCCAAAGTATGACTTTTTCTTATACATGTCCTTGTTATACCCTGGCAATTTGCACTATAAGAATGACACTAAATGTCACTAAGTTTGCTATTCATAATCACTCTTGGAGCCTTGGACTACTGCATTAAGGAGTGCATCAGAATGATTAAGTCCTAAATGTCAGCTGCAACAGGGACAAGAAAAAAAGTGGGTGGACCCAGAATTTATAAAATGACCTATATTTGCATTTTTTTTCTTCAAACAGGCTTGGGGGAAAATGTATTGTCATTTTGCACACAAATGAATCCGCTCGAAGTATTGTCCGACAGTCAATAAATCGAATTTTGTGAAGAAATAATTCAATAACTAAAGGTTGAAAATTGCACATTTCTCGTCGCATCTGTGATGTTTTGTTGAACCGCCGATGGAGGGCAGTAGTTGCAACCTCGAATCAGTGCTTCGTAGCCGATTTAGGAAATCGCGTTGTTTTACCTGGGAACAAGAAGGGCAAGGAGGGAACATGGCGGCACCCATGAACACGACGTGCGTTAGCCAAGTTTGTGAAGAAACCGGTGTAATTTAACCTAAATAGAGACGAGCCTTCGAAGAGTTGGTTTGATAGGAAAGAGAGATTGCCCAGGAAAACAAGGCCGAGTATGGCTCAGGCCTAGACCTAGCCTTTAGTCAAGTCCCACGCGCTTACCCGGACACGTGACGCACTCCGGGTGCTGACACGTAAAAAGACTAGCACGAGCGGCAAAGCCGCGAGGGCCTTCATCTCGTGGAGAACGCTTATGTTTTTCTTTACATTTTGTCAACCGATTTGGTAGACATGCATAATGCATTACCCGTTGTGAATTGATCAATGAAAATGCAGACTTACTAACGTAAATCAGCCGTCGTCGGGCGCCAGACAGCAAGTGCGCCATGGTGCGCGTGCTGTTGCTGGTAACCGCAAACCACCGTTAGATGATTGGTTTATAGGCCTATTACTTGATGTAAATTACGTGAATAAATGAATAAGTGATTAGTTCCACGAGATAGTAAAGGCCCTCGCGGCTCCGCCGCTCGTGCTAGTCTTTTTACGTGCCAGCATTCGGGATGCGTTACGTGTCCGGATGGTCCGGGTATAGGCACGTGGGACTTGACTAAAGGCTAGCCTAGACCCGTCATGCACGTGAATATGGGCGGTAAAAACCACCATGTTTACGTACGGGTCTACACTTCACTACAGTACCGGACCACATGGCCAGGTATAGGTTGTCATGTCCTCTATTATTAGAGATCATAAATGCGTCGTTCTTACTTTGGCTAAGAAAAATATTGACTTTGCTATTTGAAGGATGCGTAGGCGAGTATTTTTGGCATTGTGTAGTTTAACTTTAGGACACCTCTAATATAGGTTTTCTCGGTCAATTTCGGCAAATGAGCAGCCAATTTAACCACTACGCTATTCTATTTCGCGCGAAATCAAATGCTACTGAAAAGGGTCATTCGATTTCGTTTTATGACCAGTCAAATGTACTGTTGCGTCATTCGATTTAACAAAATAATCATGCAATTTAACAATTCAACAAAGCAGCATTCAAATTCGCAGGAGCTTTTTGAGGCGTGTGTTTAGTCATTCAAATTCATTTTTGGGCAGTCATATTTTCTGGAATTTGTGCAATCTAAAAAACGCTTTGTTAAATTTTTGTTTCCTTAAGAATGTTGAAGGCATAAATACGGTTCACTTTTTGGCACTTGAGTCACTTTGCCGATGTACTTCGAAGACGACCTTTTGCTACAGTTTTACACGCATATTTCTAGAAATGGCAGCTCGTGGTCGCTACGCTAGAGTGGCCCAGGTAGATCGAGAAAGGTTGATTGAGGCCTTCGAGGGAAACCAGCAAGACTACCTTGAGCTTGCGGTCAATTTGAACATCAACAAGTCCACAGCCAGATCAATTGTTGCAACATATTTGAGGACTGGAAGGCGAGAGACGCTGGCAAGAGGAGGAGCAACCCACAGCAAGATGGATGATGACATGCGAAAGTAGTGTGTAGGGTCTTTAGCGGACAAGACAAAAGAATTTTATGCATAAGGTAAACAGACAATGGACTCATTTGCATATCAATGAAACTAATTACCATATGGATGGATGATGTTAGCATAATAAAAGAGCGCATGGGCGTGTGTAAGGTTTACCGGACAAAGGATGGGTCTAAAAAATGTATTGGACAAAGGGGGCAGCCCACCCGGCTAGATGGAATAGCGGACAGAGGAAAGACCTGAACCGGAATAGTGGACAAAGGGAGACTTGAGCCGGATTATGAATGTCAAACGTTTGAAATGACCAAGACTATCATTTGTATTCATTCAAAGCAGTGTGCAAACAGTGAATAATTAAAAACAAAATGCAGGCCACACCAACAGAGCGCCAATTAAGCCGACTAGCTGGAAATCTTGTGAAAAAATGTTTTTACTCTGGTAAGAATGGAGAGTGCGAGCGACCTTGGGAGAAGTTAATGATGAATCTCGGTCTATCAAGAGCCGCTATGTATAGACATTTAGAGGAAAACAAATTTTGTGAATGGGGGCAATGTTTTAACGCGCTTATAGAGTTACTCATTTACTCATTTCGTTACTCATTTACTCATTTGATTAAATGATGAGTAATGATGAGTAACGAAATGAGTAAATGAGTAACGGAATGAGTAAATGGGTAACGAAATGAGTAAATGAGTAACGAAATTAGTAAATGAGTAACGAAATGAGTAAATGAGTAACGAAATGAGTAACGAAATGAGTAACCAAATGAGTAGCAAATGAGTAAATGAGTAACGAAATGAGTAAATGGGTAACGAAATGAGTAAATGAGTAACGAAATGAGTAAATGACTAACGAAATGAGTAAATGAGTAACGAAATGAGTAAATGAGTAACGAAATGAGTAAATGAGTAACGAAATGAGTAAATGAGTAACAAAATGAGTAACCAAATGAGTAACCAAATAAGTAGCAAATGAGTGAATGAGTAACGAACTGAGTAAATGTGTAACGAAATGAGTAGCAAATGAGTGAATGAGTAACCAAATAAGTAGCAAATGAGTGAATGAGTAGCAAATGAGTAACCAAATAAGTGACGAAATGAGTAACCAAATGAGTAGCAAATGAGTGAATGAGTAACGAAATGAGTAAATGAGTAACGAACTGAGTAAATGAGTAACGAAATGAGTAAATGAGTAACGAAATGAGTAACCAAATAAGTAGATATATATTAAATGATTTCATCCGTTCCTTACCATTCGGAGATTAACCTTCAAAGCTTCAACATGAATACTATTTCTGCAGTCAAACCCTATGCTTGTCACCAGTGTGACAAACGCTTTGGACGGAGATATAACCTCTTGAGACATACCGAAAATGCACATGCTGAAGATGAATCCGACATAGACGAAGTTGAGGTGGATAATTCTGAACCTGAATTTAAAAGCAGTAGATTTGAAGATCCGGAAATGGAAAACTATGAAACTGAATCTACGTATGATGAAGACGAAGATCTTGAGGAAAATGATTCCGAATCCGTCACGGAGGTGGAAGATGACGAATCATCTGATGAAGATGAGTCTAGTTCTGATTTGGAAGACAATACAGCCTATTTAGACTGGTTGGGAGAGGCAAAAGAAGCGATTGATGAGATGTGGAGTGAAAAACATGAAAAGTACATCAACGAGGGCATGAGTGAAGATCAGGCCACGGAAAAGGCCAACAGGAAGACCTTGTGGGCAGTCAAGCGAATCTTTTTCAACAAATACAAAGATTTTTTGTCAAGTTACATACATCTGAAAGATAATGATACTCATCAAGAAATTGTGGACGAGATCGAAGACAGAGTCAATCATTCCGGTATTCTACTGCCCACAGCTGTCAGCCGGGTCAAATCTAAACACCAGGCCAAATTTGACGGCCTGTTCCTTCAATTAGATGAAGATGACGTTAACGAGGAAGACAGTGACGATTAAAGACTAGTCAACGTTACATTAAGATCACTGATGATTTAATTGCAAAGAATACATTTAAAGACAAATTAAAAAAACACACGAGTGTTTCATTGAGAAATGACGTCAATAAAGCAATGATGTTATCATGTATACACTTACTGCAGTTGTATTTTTCTTTGTTGGTGTTGTCTTACAGTTAAACAATCGGGAAAGCCCTACTGTCAAGCAGTCATATAATTAGTGTTTGGACACGCCCTGTCAATAATCCCCGAAATGTTTACGGTCTTTAATGCTTCATGTATGGCTTTATCACGCACCGTGTCCAACTTTGGGACTTTGTTGGGGTAAAAAAGTTAGTTGCCTTATGACACTCTAAATCTTCAATATAAAATAGAAGTACATACTATTGCTTTAACACAAAAAGACCTAGTTATATATATATTTATATCCTTGATTTTGTAAACAAGTCCGGCACGGTGGTAGGGTTCGGTGCATTCCTGTACAGACAACAGTAAAGGGGTATTAAGGCTTGAAATCATGTTTAGTCAGTCAACTTCATTGACTTCTTTCACGTACAGATTTTTGAAGCTCCCGCACATGCCGTGCGCTGCCAATTAAGTCCCATTGTCCAATAAAGGGAGTCAGCGTTCACTACTGTTGCGTAACTCCTAGCAATCGATATTTAGAACGCTCAATAATCCATCCCCCACTGTACATGCAGGTAGGTTCAGTCGGTGAAAGATAATCGATATAATGAACACGTCTTGAAAGAATTACGTCTTTATGGATTAGGGAAACAGCGCTATCTGATCGGACGGTGTAAATATACAATGTGTACATGTAGGATGCAGTCAGTCCCTTAACCCTTTCCTTACCATGGGCGACTTTTGTCGACAAGAAGTAGCCCCCTGCTGGTTCCC